TTTGGCTTTTCCAGCCTCTGTTGTTTCTTGCTTTTCCTTAGTCTGTGGCCTTCAAAGCCCCCTGAAGGATATCCCCACGTAACTTGCTCTCTGTACCCAATCCTTGAAGCCTTTCACTGGGTTTCAGTCTTCCTCTGCCTCCTCCCAGCTGTCTCAGGATATGCAGTGGGGCTGGGGTGGGGTTGAACATGGTAAGGCATCTTCTCCTGCTCCTATTAAGCCACTAGGTTAAGGCTGGGGACAGCACTTTGGCCTCAGTGCTTAGCAGTTTTCTAGAGACAGCAGAATTCTCTGCACTTCTTTTTTTTTTTTTTTTTTTTTTTTTTTTTTTTTTTTATCCTCACCTGAGGATATTTTTTCATTTTTTGTACAGATAGAGTGGGAGGGAGAGAGAGGAAGGGAGAGAGAGAGAGAGAGAAACATCGATGTGAAGGGACACATCGAGTGGCTGCCACCCGCACGACCAACCAGGGCCGGGGACAAACTGCAACCGAAGTACGTGCCCTTAGCGGGAACCGAACCCGGGTCTCTCCAGACCGCAGGCCGACACTCTAACCGCTGAGCCAAACTGGCCAGGGCGAATTCTCTGCACTTCTTACGTTCAACTTCTTTTGGCCTCAAGCACCAATTTCCCAGGCTGCAGGAAAAGCCCCACTCACCATATTGTTACTCCAAATTTGCAAGCTCAGCTGCACATAAGCTCCAGGCCACCAAATAATCCTTGTCCAGTTCCAGTCTGCACCATCAGGCCTCTGGCATTTACCTAATCAATTCCTTCTGCCTGCAATGACCTAATGGCAGGTCCTTCCTGCAGAAATATTCTGGGGTCAGCTCCTATAAAAACTTTCCCCTTCCCCAGTAGAATTGAATGGATGAATAAATAAGTGAATGAATGCAAAGCTAATATAGTCTCAGGTCCATCAAGGAAGGACAGTGTGAGGTCCTGGAGCTAGGTTGCCTAGGTTCAAATCCTGGAACCAAGACTAGCTGTGTGACCTGGGACAAGTTATGTAACTTCTCTGTGTCTCAGTTTCTTCAACAGAATAAGGATAATAATAGCATTTGCCCCTGAAGTTGCTGTGGGGATTCAATAAGGTGATGCCAATAACAAGTCTGTGTGCCTGATGCTAATATAGGTTAACTTATTTGTCATCCAGGACAAGAATCTTGGTATCTTTATGCCTCATTCTGTGCCCGTGCTTAGAACCTAATTTCCTTACTTAGGTCCAACCTAATCTTTTTTCACACATTGGACTCGGCTAATTCATCCACTGCTGAGTCATTTATTATCAGAGACAGTGTGCTGGAGACAGAACAAAGGTTGAGGTGCTGTGGGCTGGAGGCATGGGGGAGAGACGCATTTTACTTTGAGGAAACAGGATATATAGAAAAATCATTCACGTGCCAGAAAAGGGCCTGGACTAAATTAAACCTTTTGATGTTAACCACCGATTAAAGCATTATAATAGCAGCACAGGCTATAGCCTGTAATCATGTTGCTATGAGATTTCATGTTGGAAAATGACTGCAGGGCCCCCTTTAAAAATCAGAGCTGACTTGATGGCCATTCTCACAGGGAAATAACTGCTCATAGGGAAATAATTTCTGAAAGTCTCCTCTCTCCCCCTTTATTTAAAGCACCTAGGAGATTTGACAGACAATTAAAACCCAATAAGAGATGAGAAGGAAGAAGATAATAGACCTCCCACCAGTCCCTCCACCTTGGGACCCAGCAGGGATGGGGACAAACTGGAGCTGAAAACACTGCAAAATATGCAGTGTCATACCACAGACTGTCGTCAAGTGCACGCCTTCTGCTGCGAGAAAACTGGCACTGAGCAAAACTTCTGTATCCGACAAGTGATGCATACACAGCACTTTTCAGCTTGAAAAATCATTTCCATACTCTTTTTAAAAAAATCCTCACCCGAGGATATTTTTCCATTGAATTTTAGATAGAGTGGAAAGGAGGGAGGGAGAGAGAGAAACACTGATGTGAAAGAGACACATCGATTGGTTGCCTCCTGCACGACCCGGATGGGCTGAGGATTGAACCTGCAACTGAGGTACGTGCTCTTGACCAGGAATTGAACCCGTGACTCTTCGGTCCACAGGCCGATGCTCTAACCATTGAGTAAAACCAGCCAGGGCCATTTCCATACTCTTTATCTCAAACATCCTGTGTGCCCAACTGGGTGTGAGAACCAAGGTTCAGCTAATGACTTCATGTTCTCCAGGAAACTCGAGGGACACAGCTGAAACTGGGTCCCAGTCTCCTCAGAGGAAATCCTGTGCTTTTCACCAGACTAGTCTATCCTTGTTTACTCGTTCTTCCAGAACAGACTCAGGTCTGTGCGTGAGACACTGGCCTGAGATCTGGTTTAGAAGATAACACTCTAGGAAGACAGTGTGGCCTGGTAAAGAACATAAGAGCTACCTGGCCAGTGTGGCTCAGTAGTTGAGCATGGACCCATGCACCAAGAGGTTGTTGGTTTGATTCCTGGTCAGGGCACATGCCCAGGTTGTGGGCCCAATCCCCAGTGAGGGGCATGCAGGAGGCAGTCAATCGATGTTCTAATTGATGTTTCTATCTCTCTCCTCCTCTCCCTTCCTCTCTCTCTAAATCAATAAAAGGGGGGGAAAAATGGAGACAATTGGTTACTCAAAGACCTTTATTTTTTTTTAATTAATTAATTTATTTTTGTTACAGATGTTTCTCCTTTTCCCCCCAGATTGCCCCCTCCTTCTCCCTCCCCACCCTGTCCCCAGCTTTGTTGTCCATCTCCATTGTTCATGCACACATGCATACAAGTTCTGTGGTTTATCTCTCCCCCACCACCCCTTCTTCTGGGGATTGTCAGTCCGTACCCCACTTCCACGTCTCTGGGACTACCCCATTCCTCAGACTGTTATGTTCATTATATTCCACAAATAAGTGAGATCATATGATACTTGTCTTTCTCTGTTTGGCTTGTTTCACGTAGGATGACACTTTCCAGGTCCCTCCATGTCATCTCAAAGAATAAGAGATCTTTCTTTCTTACAGCTGCATAGTACTCCATTGTGTATATGTACCACAGCTTTTTTATCCATTTGTCTACTGATGGACATTTGGGCTGTTTCCAGATCTTAGCTATTGTAAATAGTGCTGCTACAAACATGGGGGTACATATATTCTTTCTGATTGTGTTTCAGGCTCCTTAGGGTATATTCCTAGAAGTGGGATCACTGGGTCAAATGGAAGTTCAATTTTTAATTTTTGGTCACTCAAAGACCTTTAAAAAAAGAATGTAAGGGCTGTGGTCTCAATTTTTGTATTTAGTAGAGGAAAGCAATTCCAGATTGACCCAGACGCTTGATTTTTCGCCTACAGTGTTTCCTCAAATTCTCCTTATCAAAGAAAGAGAATTTGAGGAAACAGGATAGGCAAAAAATCATTGGTGTGCCAGGAGGGCATTCTGGCCAATCCAAGATTAAGCTTTCCATGCTTCTCCAGACCTTGATGTGTTCGAGAGCTGAGCAGAATATGGCCCTTCCTTCTCCCCACTTCCCTCTTTTTTTCTGTAAATCCTCTTCCAGCCTTTTTTTTTAAAGATGAAGTCAAGCTATACATGTGTTCTCCTCTTTACAAGTAAATAGGATGCAAACAATGAACTCAATGTCTGAGTTATTCTTTGACTCTAGGCTCCTTCACTTGCTAGGAAGTATTTGCCAGCTATCAACTAAATTCTTGGGCCTCATTTTTCTCCTCCATAAAATGGAGATAATAGCTCTCAAGGATGGGATGAAATAATCCATGAAAAGAGTTACACACGTGCCTGTCTTGTAGTAATGCTTTGCTACAATCATTGCCATTTATAGCAGTTCCCTATTGCTGCTATAACACATTACCACATACTTAGGGGTTTAAAACAACACAGGTTTATTCTTTTAGAGAGTTCTGGAGGTGGGAAGTCTGAAATGAGCCTTATAAAGCTAAAATCTAGTTGTCAACAGTGCTGCATTACTTCTGGAGTGTCTAGAAGAGAATTAATTTGCCCCTCCCCCCCAGCTTCTAGAGGTTGCCTGTATTCCTTGGCAGTGGTCCCATCTTCCTTCTTCAAAGCCCACAGTGGAGCATCCTTTGATCTCACTGATCCTGACCCTTCTGCTTCCCTCTTACAAGGAGCCTTGTGATTACATTGAACCCACCCAAATAATTTCCCCATCTCAAGATCTTTAATCATATCTGTAAATTCCCTTTTACCATATAAGATAACATTCACAAATTCTGAGGATTAGAAGATGGACATCTTGGGGGAGTGGGTCATTAGTCTACCACAATTATTCATCTTTTTATAAGTAGCTCATTTAATCTTCATTAAACCCCATGGAGTAACTGTTTTATTTCCATATGGGGACTGAGGCAGAGAGAAGTTAAGTAACTTTCCCAAGGTCACATAGCCTACACATGGTGAAGGAGCAATCCCAAGGAGACAGTTGGCTTCTAGAGTTCACGGTCTTACAAACTGAAATATGTGAAATGGCACATAGTAAGCATTATATTACTGTTAGCTGTTATTCTTGTTATTTCTACTAAGATTAATACAATTATCCCTCTATGATGACTCTCGTGAGAATTAAATCAACGTACAAAAATTACCAGACAGTGCCTGACACACAGTAGGTCCTCAAATGGTACTTAGAACTTTCCAGTCCTTATTCACCTTCGTTTTCGCTAGGAAGACGTTTGAGTTAATGCCTTTCTCCCGAAGTGCCATCTCCTCCACGTAAACGACCCACTCAAGATTGCGCCTATCGCGCTGAAAATTGTATAGACCTTCTCAATATGGCGCCGAACCAGTCATTTCCATCTTCCGCCCTCAAGACGGCCTCCGTAGTTAGCTTCAACCCTGGGTATCCTGACCTTCTTAAAATGGCGGCAGATGGGTTTGCATCACATCACGACCTTTTCAAGATGGCGCCGGTGTCGCAAACTCAGCGACGCTATTATCATAGACACTTCCGGTTGCGCTGGAGGCGGGCATAAGAGTCCTGCTAGGACCTATGGAGGATTCACTTTGGGTCGGGACACTCTGGCCCAACCATGGACCGAAGGAAAAAGCCTTTGGACGTCACGGCCTCCTCGGTGAGTACCGGTATAGATGATGCTAGGGGATCCGAGTTCCTCCCGCCCCCACCAGATAAGAATCTGGGCCTAACTTTTTTCTTAACTTGGGGACCCAGACCTTGCCTCCCCTCAGACAGGAACCCGAGCTGGCTTTTCTCAGACGGGAACCCGGACCAGCTTTCTTACTTACAGGATCGTGAACTTGGCTTCGCCCCTCGGACAGGCACCCGGCCTGGGCTTCCCCCCGCAGACACGGACCTGAACCTGGTGTCTCTCCCCTGTTAGGAATCTCCCCGCTTTCCTCTGCGACATCCGGTCCAGGCCTCTCGCCAGCCTAGCCTGCCTCGCGGTCGTGGCGGAACCCCGGCCCGCGCTTGCTGTGCAGACACATTCCCCTTCCTGGCCCTGCCATCCAGAGACCTGGACGGCCCTCCCAGAACGTCAGAGAGTGACATTCTCCCTGGACGTTGTTAGGACGGTGCGGTACCGGGAGCTGTCCGGTCTGGCAGGCTGGAAGCCGGTTTTTTGAAAGTTAGCTACTTCTAGGAAGAAAACCTGTGCTGAGTACTTACTTGTGCCAACACTTTACACGCAGTCTCACGGACTCCTCCCAGCTGCCTTGGGAGGTGGGTGCTAGTGATGTACCCATTTTACACATGATGAAATAGAGGCTCAAGAAGGTGAGGTGGCACTCCCCAGATTACATACAGAATCCATAGTGCTAGAACTGGCTCACTCAGTCCGGCCGCCCTTTCCATTATATCAGAGCAAATTGCCTAATCTTTGATTTAATCTTGAATTTACAGCAGAGTATTAGGATGCAAGGGAAGTACAAGGAAACATCTAAATGTCCCAATATTTGAACCCCTTTTCTTCATCGAACACTGAAAATTGGTACGGTTATTATGTTTGAGGATTAAGAACCAAAAATATATTAAAAATTATTCTATCCCAACAGGTTAAAATTAGCAGTGATCAAAGTAGGAATGCCATCTAGCAATTGACGATTTTCTGAGCATCTATCTTCCTTTTATTTTATTATTATTTTCTTTATTGATTTTTAGAGAGAGAGGAAAGGAGAGGCAGAGAGAGACAGAAACATCGATGAGAGAAAATATTGATTGGCCGCCTCCTGCATGCCCCCCACTGGGGATCGGGCCCACATCCTGGGCATGTGCCCTGACTGGGAATCGAACCAGCGACCTCTTGGTGCATGGGTCGATGCTCAACCACTGAGCCACACCGGCTGGGCCCTTTTACTTTATTTTTAATTTATCATTATTGTTGAAGATGTCCCCACTTTTTCCACCATTGACCCTCTCCTCCCCACCTTCACCACACTGTTGTCTGTGTCCATTGGTTGTGCATATATACATATAAGTTCTTTGGTTTATCTCTTCCTGCCCTCCTCCCCCCTTCCCTCTGAGGTTTGATAGTCTGTTCTCAGCTTCCATGTCTCTGGATCTGTTTTGTTTGTCAGTTTATTTTGTTCCTCTGATTCCACATGTAAGGAAGATCATGTGATACTTGTCTTTCTCTGATGCATCTTAAAATTCAAAAGTTGTAGAACAGGAAAATGTGTGGCTAGAAAATTGATGTGATTAAGAGCTTAGAAGAAAAGATGAAAGGTTTTTCATTTGTTTTATTAAATTTAGAATATTTTTTAAATTCTAAAAAATAGATGAGCTGCCCTTTGCATTATTTTGCTAAGTTTGCTTTTAAATTGATTTTTTTCCCCAAATAGAAATCACTGAACCTCAGTCAATGATTTTCCTTAAAATTCAGCTTTATAAGATTATTTACACATGCCTATGTGTATAAATACTGTGTCAGATCCTTAAAAAGGAACTGCCATTCCGTCCTTTTGTACAGAGTAGACAGTAGTCACTGATAACAGCTGAGGTCTGGGCATAGGTATTCACTCAATTGTCCTGCTGCCTTTGCCCTGGCCTTTTCTGTTCCTGAATCCTGTGATTGAGTTGAACTTAGAGTTTCTGAAACATACTAAAGTAAGCTTGGAAGCATTCTTATCATTCATTCATTCCACTTTATGTTTTGCTGTTGAAATCTGCCTGTCTTTTTTTTCTTTTTTTAATCCTCAACCCGAGGATATTTTTCCATTGATTTTTAGAAGGGGAGGAAGGGAGAGAGAGAGAGAAACATCGATGTGAGAGACACATCAATTGATTGCCTCCCGTCTGACCCCAACCAGGGTGATGGATTGAACTTGCAACCTAGGTATGTGCCCTTGACGAGGAATCAAACTGGCAACCCTTCAGTCCATGGGCCAATGCTCTAACTGCTGAGCCAAACTGGCCAGGGTGAAATCTGCCTATCTTTTAAGGTTCAGCTCAAGGCTGCTTCTGATCACTCTGGAGAGAAAGAAATGCTCCCTTACCTGAACTTTTATGCTACTTTCTACCACTCTGACAGCACTAATTACTTCTTACTGGTATTATAAGTTATCTTTCTTATTCATTTGTAGGCTCCATGTGAGGCAGGAGTATGTCTAATTCATGTTTGTATCCTACTCTTTAGTGTTAAGTGCCAGGCACATACTAGGTACTCAGATAGTTGCTAAACAAAGACATTTTCTTGTAGAAATTCTAAATTGTTGTGATGATTACATGAGCATTTACTATATGAAAAAGACAAGTATAGTGCCTCAGACAGGTGTTTAATAATGTTAGTTGAGTTGGACTCTAAAAGATGCAGACTTTATATACTTTGATTTATCAGTCACCCTTTGCCCAGAAGAAAGCCTTTGAGTGTTGAAAGTTAGAGTAGAAGTACATTTTCAACAGAGCTAGGATGAAATATGGCTTAGTTTTATTTTGTACTAGATTCTATATGTAAACTTTTCATTTTATATCTATTTTTTGTCCATTTGTAGGACGTTGGAATCTTGCTTTGAGAAAAATAATAACTTAGAAATCTAGTAACTCATAGAATTAAATAAATTTTTTTGTTTGTTTATTGGTTTTATTCTAGTTGGTAGACCTTAAGGCTGAACTCTTTCGAAAACAAGAAGAATTCAAACAAGAAAAACTTCTAAAAGATTCTGGAGTTTTGGGAAAACCAAAAACAACCACTAAGGTAAAAATAATATCTAATTACCTACATTGATTCCAAACATGGGAACTTATACAATACTTAGGTTTTTTAAAAATATGTTTTTATTAATTTTTTTAGAGAGAGCGAGGAAGGAAAGAGAGATAGAAACAATTAAGTGAGAGAGAAACATTGATTGGTTGCCTCCTGCACGCCCCATACTGGGGATCAGGCCCACAACCCAGGCATGTACCTGACCCAGAATCAAACCTGGACCTCTCAGTCCATGGGACAACGGTCAGTTCACTGAGCCACACCAGCAGGGCGCATACTTACGTTTCTTAAAAAGTGTTTGTGCTATCTGCTATATATAAATATTAAGGAAAAATCCTTGTCTTGTATTTGAACATCTGCATGAGATGTCTTAAATATTAAAATAGAAATTAGTAAGATTACTTAAAAGCACATTTTTATGCTCTAATTCTTTATCACTTCTTTTGGAAAAGTACATGCTATTAATAAGTGGTTTGTTACATTGTTGTGGAAGATTATCTAGTTACATATGTGTTATAAATCCAAACAGAGACAAATAGATATTATAGAAATATAACAGAAAATATCAGGGTCTTTAAGAGTTGTGAATGGTTTTTCAATTTTATAGGTAATGGTATCTATAATTTGTATTACTAATTATCTGTAATATATACATTTTCGTTATGGTCTTGAATCATTCAGGAGATAAAAGATAAAGAAGTAACCCTATGTAGTTGTATAAAGAAATTCTTTATATAATTCAGGACTTTTCTTTTCAGCTCCATCTTTGCCATGTACATTTCATTTGCAGGACATAAGTTGGCTATCAGAAGGTCTAGTTATCTACATTGATTCATAAGATCTGATGGTTTCTTTTTTTTCTTCTGATGTAAAGTAGAGATGTTTTGCAGTCATTTGGTGGTTCTGTTTTGTCTTTTTAAAATTATTCTCCAGAAACCAAGTATCTGGAACAAACAGAATGCAGGAGTTTCAAATCGAGCTGAGAAGGATGCAGAACAGAAGATTGAGGAACAGAAAACTTTAGACAAAGCAAGGTAAAGTTGAACTCTGGTAAATGTAGTTACCACTGAGGCTACCCAAGCAAAGAAATGAAGGTTCAACTTTTACTCTTGTTTATTTACAATTAAAATTTTTAGTATCCTTTTAGCCAAATATTCTATAAATATAAAATAAATGCCAAAAATATTGTAATTTATAGATGTATTTATAATCTTAGAAGAAGATAAGACATAGTCTCAATTTAAAAGATCAAACAGCCTGGCTGGTGTGGCTCAGTGGTTGAGCATCAACCCATGCACCAAGGGGTCACTGGTTCAATTCCTGGTCGGTGCACGTGCCCAGGTTGTGGGCCCAGTCCCCAGTGTGGGGCATGCAGGAGGTGACCAGATGCTCTCTCTCATTGATGTTTCTACCTCTCTCTCCCTCAAATCAGTAAAGAAAAAATATATAAATTTAAAGAATGAGTAAGTAGGCCCTGGCCGGTTTGGGTCAGCAGTTAGAATGTTGGCCCATGGACCAGAGAGTTGCGGGTTCAATTCCAGTCAAGGGCACGTACCTCAGTTGCAGTTCATCCTCGGCCCTGGTTGGGGTCCTGTGGGAGGCAGCCAGTCAGTGTGTCTTTCTCACATTGATGTTTCTCTCTCTCTAAATCAACAGAATAATTGAAAGAAGAAAATACAAAGAACATTTTAATACTCTTCACCTAAGTTCACAAATAAACATCTTTCAACATTCTCTCTCTCTCTGTGTCTCATGTGTGTATAGAGAAACTTTGTTAAGCATCATGATACTTTATCTGTACATATTTTGGCATATATCTTTTAAGAACAAGGACATTCTTCTATATAACCACACTGATAAAATAGTATTATCTATTATATAATCTATATTCAAATTTCACCAATTATTCTAGTACAATTATGTCCTTCAAAGTTGTTTTTGAAAACTTTAACCTAGGATTCAATCAGAGATTACACATTGCATTTAGTTGTCATGTCGTATCACTTTAGTCTCTTAACAATTCCCTTGCCTTTTTGTTGTCTGTTATGCCATTGATGTTTTTTAAGAGTCCAGGACAGTTGTTTCTGCAAGGTCCCAAAATCTGATAAGAGTCAATTTAACTGCTTTTGATAAGAATGCCATGTAGGTAATAATGTGTCTTTCCCATTGAAGCATATCGGAAGGTTCACATTGTCAATTTCAGTCATTATTGGTAATAAGTTTGATCCCTTGGTTAAGGCAAAGTCCGATAGATTTTTCCACTGTAAAGGTGCTCTTCCCCATTTGTAATTAGTAGTAACATAAGGAGGGAAAGTATGAAACTGTGTGACTATCCTGTTCAACACATTTTTATGTAGCAGTGTTGACATCACTGATGAGTTCTGCCACTTATCAGTTATTACAGTGATGATTTCAAAATGATGATTTTTCTGATTCTATCATTTCATCTTTATTATTATTTTTTATTCCATTTATTAGCTGACATTCTTCTGTAAAGAAGAGCTTCTTCCCTATTTGTAGTATCATCCTGGACTCAGAATCCCAAGTTTTAATGTCTGTCAAGACTGCCACATGTGTTTTTGGATCCATTGCATAATTAAACTCTGCTGTTACAAATAGTGGTAACTAAGGTTACCTAGCTCTTTTGGGTCTGAAAATAAAAGTCAGAATATTAGCCCATTTGGGGTATTGTTTTTCTTTCTTAGCATTTGACCTGTCCCCAACTGACATGAAACTTTACTTAAAGATATGTTTGTTTTTGAGATATCTGTTTCACTACTGAGTTTATTCTCAGAATTTTAGTTTTGTTGAAAGATGCCATAATTTAAAATAATTATATGCATTTTTTTGAGAAATAATTGATATATAACATAATATTAGTTTCAGGTACACAACATAATGATTCAAAATTTGTATATATTGTAAAATGATCACCACAATAAGTCTAGTTAGCATCTGTTAACTGTGCATAGTTACAAATTGTTTTCTTGTGATGAGAACTTTTGAGATTTACTTTTTAAACAGTTTTCAAATACACAATACAGTATTGTTAACTATAATCACCATGCTGCACATTATATTCCCAGGACTTATATATTTTATAACTGGAAATTTGTACCTTTTGAACCCTTTCACCTATTTCTCCCACCCCTACCCTCTGCTTCTGGCAACCAGCCCACCAGTCTGTTCTCTATATCTATGAACTTGTTTTGTTTTTGTTTTAGAATTTACATATAAGTGAGGTCATATGGTATTTGCCTTTCTCTGTCTGACTTAATTCACTTAGTGTAATGCCTTCAAGGTCTATCCATGTTGTTACAAATGGAAAGATATTCTTTTTTTAATCCTCACCCGAGGACATTTCTTTGCATTTATCCTCAGATAGAGCAGGAGGGAGAGAGGAAGGAAGAAAGAGAGAAACATCGATGTCACATCAACTGGTTGCCACCCACACGACCCCAACCGGGGCCAGGAGGAACCACATCTGAGGTACACGCCCTTTATAGGAACCGAACTCAGGACTCTCTGGTCTGTGGTATGATGCTCTAACTGCTGAGCCAAACCAGGCAGGGCAAAAGATATTCTTTTTTTTCTTAAAATTGGTTTCTTTTTTTTTTGGTGTGTGCCCCTAGCCACTAGGGCCTAGCAGGGACTGAACCTGGGATTCTCTGGTCCGCAGGCCGACACTCCAACCACTGAGCCAAACTGGCCAGGGCAAGATATTCTTTTTTTATGGCTGAATATTATTCCTGTGTGTGTGTGTGTGTGTGTGTGTGTGACATATTCTTTACCCATTTATTCACCAGTGTACACTGAGATTGCTTCCATGTCTTGGCTATTGTAGACAATGCTTTAGTAAACATAGAGGTGCATATATCTTTTTGAGTTAATATTTTCATTTTCTTTGGATAAATACCCAGAAGTAGAATTGCTGGATCATATGGTAGTTACATATTACATTTTTTGAGGAACCTCCATACTATTTTCTATAGTGTAGTGGTTTACAGTCCCATCACAGTGTACACAAAGTTCCCCCTTATCCACATCCTCCCCAACACTTGTTAGTTCTTGTCTTTTTGACAATAGTCATTCTAACAGATGTGAGGTGGTATCTCATTGTGGTTTTGATTTGCATTTCCCTGATCATTAGTGATGTTGAGCACCTTTTCATATATCTATTGGCCATCTGTATGTCATCTTTGGAAAAATATATATTCAGATCCTCTGCCAGTTTTTTAAAAATTAACTTTATTGGGGTGATATTGGTTAATAAAATTATGTAAATTTCAAGCGTATAATTTTGTGATACATCATCTGTATATTGCATTGTGTGCCTACCACCCAAAGTCAGATCTTCCATCACCATATACTTGACCCCCTTTACCCTTTACTACCCCTCCACTCCTCTTTCCTTTAGTAACCACCATACTATTTCTGTATCTGAGTTTTTGTTTCTCTTGTTTGTTTATTTATTTATTGCTTTCAGTTTTATATCCCACATATGAGTGAATTCATATGGTTCTTGATTTTTTTTCTGTCTGACTTCTGTTAGTGTGATATTCTCAAGATTCATTCCTGTTGCCATAAATCTTTGCCAAGTTTTAATTGGATTATTTGGGGATTTTTTTTTTGTATATTTTGGATATTAACTGCTTATCAGATATGCTTTGCACATATCTTCTTCCATTCAATCATTTGCCTTTCATTTTGTTGGTTTTCTTTGCTATGCAGAAGCTTTTTGGTTTGATGTTGTCCCACTTGTTTATTTTTGCTTTTGTTGCCAAATCCAAAAAAAATCATCACCAAGACCAATGTCAGGGAGCTTACCCACCTATGTTTTCTTTTAGGAGTTTTATAGTCTCAGCTTTTACATTTGAGGTTTTATTCCATCTTGAGTTAGTTTTTTGTGTATGGTATTAGAGAATGGTCCAGTTTCATTCTTTTGCATGTGGCTGTCCAGTTTTCCCAACACCATTTATTAAAGAGACTTCCCTTTTACCATGGTGTATTCTTGTTTCTTTTGTCAGAAATTAATTGACTATAAATGTGTGGGTTTATTTTTGAACTTTCAGTTCTGTTCCATTGATGTATGTGTGTGTTTTTATGCCAATACCATACTGTTTTGATTACTATAGCTTTGTAATATGGTTTGAAATCAGGGAGCATGATGCCTCTAGCTTTGTTCTTCTTTGTTCAGATTAGGGACCTTGTCTGAAAACAGAAGTGCAAAGAGTTTGAATAAATTTGCCAATATACTTGGAAGGTTGCAAATGGAAAATGTTTTTGTTTAGATATTTCTCTCTCTCTTTTGGGTATTTAAGTTGCATTTGGCATTTAAATTAAGTTAGAATCTTTATTCATTTATTCATTCATCAAATACTGATTGAACACCTATGCTTAAGGTATTTTTTTTAGGGATACAGTCATGAATAAGGAAGACATGGGTCATGCTCTTATAGAACTTATGTTTGGCAAAGCAGATGTGGCTGGGTCTGAGGGTCCCTTTAGGGTGGGGTGGTCAGCTGTAGTTATGATTGCCTCGTAATCAGGCTGGACCTCCTGGGAAGAACACAGCAATGAAGCCGAGGATGGAGTAGTCTTTTCAGGGGTGGCAGTTAATAAGACATTTCTAATATTGTTTTGTTTTCTCCAAGGGAGAAATTGGAAGAAAAGGCTAAATTATATGAAAAAATGACTAAAGGAAACTTCATAGGTAAGTAAAAATTATTTATACTTCTTTATTTTTTATAATTTATATAGCCCTATGGTATTTCATTATTTGTTAATAACTGTAAGAATAAGGAGAGCCCTGGCCAGTTTGGCTCAGCGGTTAGAGCATTGGCCTGCGGTCCAGAGAGGCCCGGGTTCAGTTCCCGCTAAGGGCATGTACCTCGGTTGCAGTTTGTCCCCGGCCCTGGTTGGTCGTGTGGGTGGCAACCACTCGATGTGTCCCTTTCACATCGATGTTTCTCTCTCTCTCTCTCTCTCTTTCTCTCTCTCTCTCTCTTCCTCTCTCTCCCTCCCACTCTATCTGAACAAAAAAATGGAAAAAAAAAAATATCCTCAGGTGAGGATAAAAAAAAAGAATAAGGAGAAATTTTAAAAATCAAACTGATTATTCTCTGTGCCAGAGACAAGAAAATCAGCAGTAATTTTCCAATTGCCCAGTGGGTGCTGGGCATGTCTTGGGTGCTGTGAGGGGACAAGCAAGTACAATATCAGCCCAAGACTGCTTTTGGGATCCTCTGCCCTTAAGGTGTGGGATGTCATCAGTGGAGGGAAATGGTCCAGAACAAAGCAAAGTTAGGAAACTAGGTCTAAATAGGCCACAATTATGAACAATTACAGCTGTGTAAAAAAACTAAGAGGAATTATGGTTATATCAGGGTTGTTTCCTGTTTCCCTATTTTTCTCTATTTTCCATCTTTTCTGTGATATGCTTATAATTGCATTTTAAATGATAATAAAAAAGCCCTGGTCAGTTTGGCACAGCTGCTAGAGTGTCAGCCCTGGTCAAGGGCATGTACCTGGGTTGCAGGTTCATTCCCCAGCCCCAGTCAGGGTTGTGCAGGTGACAACCAATCGATGTGTTTCTCTCACATGGATGGTTTTCTCTCTTTCTCCCTCTTTTCTACTCTATCTAAAAAAAAAAAATTAATGGAAAAATATCCTCAGGTGAGGACTAACAAAAATATAAATAAAATTAATAAATGATAAAAAGAGATATCACTTTCCTCATACCTCCCCAAGAAAGAAACCCAAGCCACAGCTAGGCAACAATAGAAGAGTGTATGCAAAGCAGTTTACGAAGGAGGTATATGTGGAAGTCTTTAGGGAGAAGACGGGCTCTGATAGGGGTCTAAAAGGCTTTGGATAGCTGGAGAAAAGGATTCTGCAGAAAAGGGGAGAGTGGTGAGAGTGGACCACTAGAGGGAGAAGAGGCCAGAATTGGCAGGGCAGCCTAGTGTGGTTGGGCCTCAGGACCTGGGATGGGGGCAGCAAGGCAGCAGGGGAGAGGTGGGATGGACCCCAGTCATGGGCTGCCCATCCTGCTAAGCTCCCTCTTCTCAGACAGCAGGAACACGCTCCTTGCGTGGCAGGGAATCAGCATGGGACGGTCAGTCACTCTCAAAGCTAGGGGCCATGAGGAGAGGCTTTGCCTTCTTCCTGAAGAAGCAGCAGGGTGGCCATTAACCAGGTGGCCTCAATATTATGTGTCTTGTAACTCAGCTCTGGGAAAGTGCACCTCTTTTCCATATGAGGTATTTTGTGGCCTTTATATATATATATATATATATATATATATATAGAGAGAGAGAGAGAGAGAGAGAGAGAGAGAGAGAGAGAGAGAGTGTTTGGGAAAGCCTTTATTAAAAAAAAATTCAAGTCTTTTCTCTTTTGATTCATACTTGACTTATAATTTTAATATGGGATTCAGGCCCAAAAGAGAATGTTTGTAGAGGTGGAGATTTGGTTCTGTGCAGACAGCAGGCCCACCTCCTGATAGGAATATTGAACTTGCATGTTTGGGCAAATTAAGTTTTGGATCTTCAGTTATTCCCCACTGTACAGTGGGATAACACCATCACCTGGTAACAGGGAACCTAATATCTGTTCCATCTCAGACAAAAAGACTTCAAGTGACTGTATCTTAAATCTCACATAGGAAATTTCACGTAAACATTATTCATGAATACATCAGACATCCTGAGTTAAATTAAGTTGTGGATTGCTCTTCAAATTTTCAATATGTTTTAGCTAGAATAGATCATAAGCCCTTAGGAAGATAGTATCTCACATCTCTGTATGTCCTGTAGATTCTGGCAACATGTCTTGTCTGAAAGTGGTATTCATTGGATCAAAAAGAATTCAAATGACTCTCCCTATACTGTGACCCTTAAAATACTTACCATACCATAACAGTATAATTAAGATTAAGTGATACAACTCACCTGATTAGAAAGGATATTATCTATGACAGCCAATGTCTATTGTTCTGGTATGACAACATGGGAAATGCTCTTCTCCTTCTATTTATGTAATTGGCTTTATGAATCTCTTGAAATCAAATGGTTTTGTTATCTTAAAATTACATTCTGAGACAGTATTGCTTACTCAGTGTATTGACAAGGCAGCAGAAAACTTAAGGTATTTAATTATTTTTATTTTTTAAATCCTCACCCAAGGATATTTTTCATTTATCTTCAGATAGAGCGGGAGGGGGAGAGAGAGAGAGAGACACATCGATTGGTTGCCTCCCTTAGGACCCTGACCAGGGCAACCAGGGCCAGGGACAAACCACAACTGAGGTACATGCCCTTGACCGGAATCAAGCCTGAGACTCTTTAGTCCACAGGCCTATGCTCTAACCGCTGAGCCAAACCGGCCAGGGCAACTTAAGGTTTTTTAAAGATTTTTTTGCATGGTGTATGTTTCCAATGGCCTATTTGCAGCTTTCCTGTCCAGTCCCAAGGTGGCTCTGTTTTTGTTAAGTGTTCCAGGGGGTGGTGTCATTGACTAGTGAACCATCAGGGTCATGAAGCCACCCATCAATGAATGTGACTACTTCATATCAATTCTATGTGTGGTTTTCTTCTTTGATGTTAAGAATCTGACAGTTCTCTCTGGCGTCAATGTTTCTCTCTCTTTCTCCCACTCTATCTGAAGATAAATACAAAAAAAAATGTCCTAGGGTGGGGATAAAAAAAAAGCAATATAACAATTGATTATTATGTCCTAGATGAAGAAGTGGAAGATATGTACCTTGTGGATTTCACACAGAAGATCATAGACAAACGCAAAGAAATGGAGTCATTTGGTGCCAATAAAGATTCTAGAAAGGCAGGAGAAAGAGATGATGACGAAGAAAATCTTTCTGAAAAAGATATACCTCTTCCCCAGGACCCCAGTGAAGAATGGTTGGTGATAGTATGTGATTTGATCATATTAACATTGTTAGGCTTGTGTTTACTTTTTAAAGTGATTGTATTTGGTTGTTATCAAACCATTTCTCTTTAGGCAGAAGCATGTTCTTTCATTCTTTTTTTTTTTCAGAAGCATGTTCTATTGCTAACCATGTCTTTATTCAGACTTTGTGGAGAGTTGTTTGTCTAGGCAGTGGTTATCTTTGTTTCCTGTAAGCCTTATTCTGGCTGTGACATTTTCTAGCAATATAATAAAAGCATTATGGGCTTGGACCTGGACAGTATTAGCTCTACCTTTCCCTGGCAATGTGACCTTGATTAAGTTCCTCACCAATCTGAGGCTCACTTTCCTCACCTATAAAGCAGTGATGGCAATACCTACTTCCTCTGATTGTTTGCCTTAAAATTCCCTCAGGAAGTAAGAGTATTTTAGAATACCCAGGAAACTGCTGTCTATGGAGTATAAACAGACATTTTATAAACCTTTATTACTGAAATTTTCGAATTTTACCTACATGTAGGTAAATAATGGGGAAACCAATCTAGTCTTTTCCTTACAAAGAGACCAGAATGAAAATTCCATTCTGATGATTTTCTCTACTTAAGACGTCATTTAGAAACTTGTTCATAAGTGCTTAAAATTATGTAGTGATGCATTGATGCTCTGAAAATGCCCTGGGAGTAACTGACTCTGCCTGCCTACCCTCTTGCCTGTACAGAGCCCACACATCTTCCCTTCAAGGCTCAACTATCCTCCTTATCATGGGGTCTTTGTCAGGAACATCTTAGGATTGCAGTATTTGTTGACTTTTGTCAGTCTTGGGCCCAGTGGGCAGGAATCATTTATGAGCTGAAGAGAGCAGTCCCTGCTGTGGAGCGCAGAGACTGCACCTCTTCATACTACTGAGGCTGTCCACATTCGTCCGGATAAAACATGAGCATTGGGATAGAACAGTTGTCTTCTTATCTACCTTCTGAAAATTTGTGTTTAGGATAGGTTATCTGGCAGCATGCTTGCTATAAGCAGCCAAGGGAGAAGCACATACAATGTAGTCTCTTCTATCGGTGCTGCTTCATTCTAAGTGATTCTCCCTTGTCCGAACTCTGGTAGCATTTAAATATTTCCTGCTCCCTTGAGTCTTACCTTTTCTTTTTTATTGACACATAACTGGCTTCATTAATAGAAAAAGATTTGAGGCAAACTTTTGGTACCTTTAACATCCAGTCCACTATTGTTAGTTAAGCCTTTCTTGAGCATGCGCCTTAGCTTTCTCCAGAGCTCTTTGAAAATGACATGACTGAGCTCTTCTGTTGCTCTGGTACCTCAAATAATTATTTCCCCAAGAGCTTGCGCAGTGACTGATTACATAGTGTAGTTGCTGACTTCTATTTTGATGGGATCTGTATGTTTTGGAGGCCGTCTCCAGAAACAGAATAGCCTGATTGCTTTTCATAGCCGCAATCTCATCTCTTTTGAAAGGTTTAGTGTCTTTTTATTTTCCTTATTAATGCCTGTAAGATTACAAGCAATTTGTCAGTCATTTGAAGAGTTTGGAGGACAATTGAAGGTGTCATATGCCACCATATGGTGAAAGAAGACACAGTGCAAGCAGTTCTGACATTTTTTGTTTTTAAATTAGGCTCTAGAATTGTAACTGCTCGTAAAATACTTTCAGTAGTTAAATTCCAGGTGGTGGAAAATGTTTCTGCAAAAATACTGTAAATAATTACTTGGACCATTTGGCTAGATGGTTTTCTTCCTTCATTTAAAAAAAAAAAGGAAAAGTAAAGAAAGAAACCATTTTCTGCAGTTGGAGGTTTTATTTCTTGTGGTAATCAGCTTTAGGACTATAGCAGTGGATTCCCAAACACTCAGTTTTAAATCATGGGCTGAAGTTGGAATCAGCATGTGTGAGAGGACAGAAATTGCTGACAAAAGCCAAGTCACATACGTGGGACTCTGACATTGAGTTGGTCCACCAGCAGTCCTGGCTGGCCCCTTTCTGTGTTTTTAGTACCCTACTAAAGGCTATGGGAAATTCCCTGTCCCTAATTTAAAAAAGTAAAAAATCTGTTACATCATAGTGCAAATGAAATGTTTTCCATGAAAATCTGTCCATATTACCTGTTGTGAAAAGTCTAAGTATTTCATTTGCCTTGCTCTCTGCCTGGCTTCCCTAACGACGATCTAGTTTGGGCAAGGATTAGGAAAGAGGAACCACAGGTAAAAGATCATTGACTGACCTACCATGAGGCACTTTTGTGGTACAAAAAGTATGTTGCTTGGCTTCCTCCTAATTAAAAATAGTTCCAAAATACTGTGACTTATATTAAGGAATAAATTTCTGATTCATTGGGAAGAATTACACCAATTAGAAGAAACATAGGAAAAAATAGTGTTAGATTTGGGAAGACTGAGGAAATTCATTTAGAGTCTGATACAAAGCAAAGTTATTGTGATTCTGATAAACTTTGGAATTGTTTAAACCAGATTAAAGTAAGTTATGAGATATTGCAGCAAGAATCTGTATGGGTATTATCTTTGAAATTAGAGACACACGTGATCAATCATTTTCTAGAACTAAGATTTAATAAAGGGCATGATGTATTTATTGTGCGTCAACTTTTAACTTTAAAAAACATTTTCTTATCAGTGATAATGGTCTCTCAGGTTGAGGGATTTTCTTGGTTGTGAGGCCTACATTATTTTTTTACTGTGCACCAACTCCTTAACTGAGGGAACCATATGTCGTGTACAAAGCCATCACATCTTTTCACTTTTATTTCAGGGTGGATTATGTGGATTCTTTAGGGCGGTCCCGGCGCTGCATGAAAAAGGATTTGCCACATCTGCTGGAGATGGATAAAAGTCTTCAGGGAAGGCTGTAAGTGTTATATGCAAAGTTTTGCCCAGGTCTGAAATGCAAACACAGGGATAGTTTTGTAGCCCCCAAGGGTGGAAAGGAAAGTGGTTTGTCTTGAGTTCAGGCAAGAATTCCATGTGCTAATGTAATAAGTCAGCTGCATGATTTAAAAAAGGTGAAAATATTTTCTGCTATTTTCCAGTGGTCTGGTAGGTCAGAAACCTCTGTAAGGAATGGTCTTCTTTATCAATTAGAGTTACTTACCCATGATCCAACTTACTGAACCAAAGCATTGCTGTCTTGCAGCTCTTATCTAAAGATAGATTTTGCTCTTTTCTTCTACTAGTTTTGTTAGTCCTGCTAATGAAAAAACCTTACTATCTGAAGACATGAGAAAAGAACTTCAGCGCCAACAATGGGAAGAAGAAGAACAGGAGGCTTTGAAAAGGCCAATGGGTCCTATACATTATGAAGATATTCGTGAAAATGGTATAATCATCTTACAGCTTTTAAATCATGTTTTTTATCTTAAACTAATGGCAAGCATAAAGGGAAGTATTCATTCATAAAGCAGCAGTTCTTATATAAAAATAAAAGATTCTGCTTTGGAAATTGAAACTGTCCTTTTTGTTTACTTCATAGCCTAAAAAATACTCTTATTGGGAATATCATCTTAACAGAAGGTCTGTTAAATCTAAGGGTTTGTTCCCCAAGAGAAGTTGAGACAGCCTATGATTGAACATTAATGAATTTTTGTTATGTTCATCACTTGGCAAACAGGATGAAAACTATTTCTAACTTACTTTTTTGCTTATCTGCCTTTAAAAATAAAAAGAAATAAACTTGTGCCAAATATCACTGTATTTCTTTTTGCCAAATTTCATGTTTGATGTAATTTATTGATCAGAGAAATCTATAATCTCTTGTATAATTTTTACTTATTTTAGAAGCCCGGCAACTTGGTGTTGGATATTTTGCTTTTGCCCGAGATAAAGAGTTGAGAAACAAGCAAATGAAAACTTTAGAGATGCTCCGTGAACAGGTACAAATTAAATTCAGAGTTGATGCAGAGAAGGATTTGAGCAATTGGTTTCCTGTTGGGCTGCAAAAAAATCTAATAAATTAATTAGAAATTTAAGTTGATATTTAGAATATAGTGATAGGTTTTATAATGGTAATTGCCATATTATTTTGGTGTTCCAAACTTTAAGACTGTAGTTGCTCAGAAGTAACCTGTACAATTTTGAATTTGGTTTCAAATATACTTGTGGTGTAGCCTGTGTAAGAAAATAGAAAGTTGCTTGGAGGATTAAGGAGTAGAACAGAATTGGTTGGTTTTCTTGAATGTTAAACCTTCCAGGATGCTCTGTGAATGCTTACTAAAACTTCAAAAAACATCAGAGGGCTTGTGTAAGAGAATATTTTATGGGTCTTCATTTTGACAATCTCAAGGGTAGCTTCTTAGAGGTGTCATGAAAATCAATTAATTAGTCTTTTTTTATAATAAAATTAATTTATCCTATTTAAACAGCAATATTATGAATTTGGCTTAAAGCAAATAATTTTCTAATTTTCTCTTCTCTTCAGACAACAGACCAGAGAACAAAACGAGAAAATATAAAAGAAAAGCGGAAGGCTATGTTAGAAGCAAGACTTGCCAAACTCCGACAAAAAAAGATGAAAAAGTCAAAAGATGATGGAGCAGAAGAAGAAAATAAAGGTATGTCATGGCTTATGTTAATAAACTTCAAAAGGAAAAATTTTAGTTCCATTGATGTCTCAGTAATAAGACTGGCAATATAGAAATTAGCCATTAAGAAAGCGCCTTTGAGGTACTGACAGGAGCAGTTTTTATAACAAGAGTGATGTGGAATGACACTCCAAGGAATGTTTTTAGGTTATAGATAAGGAAAATAACAGTACCTTGAGTCACTTCGTAGAACAGAATGTTAAGTAACTCACACTTTGTTTGTTTATTTTTTGTTAATCCTCACCCAAGGATATTTTTCCATTGATTTTTAGATAGAGTGGAAAGGTGGGAGGAGAGAGAGAGAGAAACTTTGATGTGAGAGAGACATATCGATTGGTTGTCGGTCCGCAGGCCAACGCTCTAACTGCTCAGCCAAATTGGCCAGGGCTACATACATGTTTGTTTTTGGTTTTTTTTACATACATGTTTTAAACCTTTTATTTTTATTTTTTTGCTGTGGCTACAGTTTTTGTTGATTATTATATATTAATTTTATTTTAAAGAAGAAATACATTCACAAAGTCAGCTAATTAAAGAATTTATAACTATGAGTATGGACATCTTATGAAAGGACTGTTAAAACATGTGGAAATGCTGTTCAGTATTGTGTTCAAACTAGTTCTCTATACGAATTATGCTGGTCTGGGCTCAATTGCCATGACAAAGAGACTCCTATATAGACTGCCTCAAGAGGGAAATCTGCTTCTCTCTTTTAACATTTTAGATGTGGTAGGTATCCAGGTACGTAGTAGCCACCCAATCTTCAGCTTCTGCCTGTCTTGCTATTTCTGCAATTCCCTAGAGCAGTGGTTCTCAACCTTCCTAATGCCACGACCCTTTAATACAGTTTCTCATGTTGTATGTGGGCATATCTGCATGTGGGCAGACCCGCCTGGAGACAGATAAAGAAGCAGTGTCTCAGTTCCGAAGACCATCGGAAATGTGTGTTTTCTGATGGTCTTAAGCGACCCCTGTGAAAAGGTTGTTTGACCCTCAAAGGGGTCGCGACCCACAGGTTGAGAACCATTGCCCCTCGAGGGTTGCTCTAACCTGAAACATTGAAGTTTGCTTCCCAACACCTGTCCGTGATCTAGCCTTGTGGAAGGAGGAAAGAGGGGAGGGGAACCAGCTTCTTTTTGGGAATGTGAGTCAGAAGTCTGTGTGTTTGTATTCCAATGGCCAGAATTCAGGGGGACCAATAGCCATAATTCAGGGAAGCCAATGGCCAGAATGCAGGGAGGCTGGGGATCAGCCTCTCTAGCTAGGTGCCATGTATCCAGTTGAAATGAGGCATTCTGGTCCCAAAAGGAAGAAGAGGCATATAGAAGCCCCTTCAGCCCTCACAGAAGCCTTGTGCTAAGCCATGGACTGTACTCATTCTGAGCACAAGTTTAATTTAGCTTTGAAAGGACACCAGAAACATTATGAATTGGAAAATTGTCCATTTAGTTTCATTTAACCGTTGTCTCCGTGTAACATGTTAAGCTTTGCATGTTGTTTATTGTTTATTTTTGCTCTACTTCTGAACAACTGTCATTTCCACAAGTTGTGAAGTATAACCACAGTGTTTTTTACAAATCAATTTTTCTTTAAAATGTTGCAAAAATTGAGTAGCCTATAGCCTGTCACCAGGCTCCAGCTCTTCATCACCCTAAGTCCTCTTGCTTTGTCTGAAACCCTTCCTTTAGTTGAGTAATGGGGATTTCTGGTCCTTTGATTGTTGGTCTGGGGATACCGATATTTTGAAATCCATTCAGCCTGGGTTAAGGTTTTGGCTCTCATAACTTTTGACCTGTGCAGCATTTCTGAGCTTAATTTTTCTCATCTACAAAATGGGGATCTAATGGGAATGCCAATATTGGCTTTATTAGGGTTGTTACAGCATTAAATGAACTATTATATACAAAGTACTTAGCCCACTACCTGGGACATGGTAGGTGCTCAGTAAATACTGGTTATTACTTCTACTTCCAGGACTAGTATATTTTATTTTTTTTAAATTAAGTAGCTTTAAGCTTTATTATAATGAAGTCTTATTTCTTTGCAAAAAATAGATGGCAGTGTAATTGGGCCTTTGCCACCAGAACCAGAGTCTGTGCCAGCTCCGCATATTGCTGCCCAGCGCAGCAAAGTAGAAGTCATCGTTCAGGAGAGGAAGGATACAAGGCCCGGAGTGCCATACGTCCGAGAGTGGGACCGAGGAAAAGGTAAGGGTGATGGGGTCCAAGGTGTAAAAACCTTTCCAGTAATGGACCCTGCACAAGAGATTTTCCTGGTTCTCCAGATCCAAGTGTGATTCTGATGAGTCTCAGTGGTCCTTTGAGGCTTAAGGAATTATCCAGATCCTTGGATTTGTTTCTTCTCAATACCCAGACAGAGCTGTTTATAAACAGGAGCACTAGAAAGGATGATTACAAAAGACCAGGACATCCACAAGGCATCACATAGAAGAATGAGGTGTTTTTTGGGGGTGGGGTGGGGGGGGACGGGGGAAGAGCTTGGGGGAAGTTTTCTGAAATTCATGCTGCTTCATGTCATTTTGCAACTTTGGAATGTCATTTCTCAGGACCTGCTTTCAAATCTTATGAAGGTTTGGTATTTAATGTATTGTGTTTTTAGCATATTCTTCTATGTTCAGTTAAAATGGTCTGTGTGCCAGTGTATTAACCTGGATTCACATGTGGTTCCATTGGGTTATGCAAAATTTTCTGTAAATTTTTTCTTTTTTTTTTTCTTGTATTTCATTTTATTTTATTTTTTATTTATTTTTGGTACATGCCCCTAGCGGGAACCAAACCCGGGACACTCTGGTCCACAGGCCACTGCTGCAGCTGCTGAGCCAAACTAGCCAGGGCTGTAAATTTTTTCTATAAATATCCCATGATGTCCACAGCAGCCTGTCTTTGGAATAAGCCTATGTTTTATACCTTTTTGAAAAAAGATTGTGTGGTGCTGCATTAGCTTGTGCTGTTTGAGCTGATGAGATCCAAGACTAAAGTAAAAGATACTCAAATAGGTGAGTCTTTGGTAAGTTCAGCTGTTAGAAATAAAGATGAAATACCAACCTAGATTTGGACAGGTTCCTTTTTGTTGTCTAAAACTCAAAGGACAACATTTGGGTTTGCTGTGAAGTATCTACAACATCATGTCAAACAAATGATTTGGGTGTGTAATTTTTCTATATATCTCTTAAATTTAATTTTAGAGTCAGTGTTTCCAGAGCCTGCAGGACTTCTCCACACAGCCTTTCTCAAACCTTGGCTCTTCTGGAAGTAGTCACTCCCTTAGCCTGTTTCCTGATTTTATGTAGGCATTGCATGTACTTCATATTATAGTTTTGTTATTTCTATCCTTGTTTTCCAGAGAATTTGAGGTAGCTTTTATGAATTGCATACAGTAATTGAAACATAATAACAAAGATTCATCTGATTCAATAATCAGTTCTAATAATACTTTTTCTTATTTTTACTAGAATTTTCCTTTGGGTACTGGTCGAAGAGGCAGTCAGATCTCCGGGCTGAAAGAGATCCTGAGTTTGCCCCACCATCGGATTACTTTGTGGGTCAAAAGAGAACTGGTTCTTCTTTTAGTAGCCAGACATGGAGCAGACCTGCAGCTGTACAGAGTGACACAGGGCAGCACCCTGGCCAGAGCCATGACCCCAGCTGTTCACATATACCATCCACTCCTGCCTCCAATAGCCCACCACAAGCCCCCACTGTCACTTTTGAAACTCTGGATGATATGATATCATATTATAAACAAGTGACATGAACTGGAAAAACATTCTGACTTGGGTCCATACTGTTGGCAATGTCTTCCTCTCCCAGAGCAGAGAAAATGACTTAATTTTAGGGACTGAATTATAACTTTTTTTCCTCTCCTTTCCCTAGAAGATACAGATTGGGTTGGTTATCAAGGAAGAAAGTGAATGGTACCATGGGAAATCTGTGGCCACTTGATTGTTCCTTTCTTTCTAATTGGTATAGAGCCATATATTCATTTGGATTTAAGTGTAAGCTATTATAGGATAGAAATATTCTACACCGAGGAGCTTGTAATCCTGTCTTTTATACCTACTCCCATCACTGACTCAGATTTAAGGCCTCCATTCCTTTCCTTTCCAGATGCTAGCATGTAGATATCTTTTTTCCAAGGATTCAGCTTCCAGATCAGTTGATGAAGCATCTATCTGGAGGAACTTTTGCCTGTCAAAGAGTAGCAAGTGAGGAGACACAGCATGGGCGGCAAAGTGATCTAGTCTCCAAGAGGACACCTCATCCTCTTTACTGCTTCAGATAAGCAGTTGGAATGGGCCATCAGGCCCACAAGGCTCCTATGGCCACCTCTCAAGCCAGTGAGTCCTGTAAGAATGTGCTAGAGCAGGTACTCCGAGTGCCCAAAGGGGCCCACCCTCTGGGATCTGTGAGGCACATGTTTTCTGTGGGGCACAGCACAGTGGTGCTGATGTAAGTGCCCTTGTTCTGAAATTGGAGCGCAGAGGGTCAATAATTTGTACAAGGTCATGTGACATCTAAATGGCAGATCTAGGACTTAAACACAGTTTAGGCTCAGGTTTGCCCCAGACTCATGCTTTCTCCAACACCTTCTGCTCTTGGGTTTGCTGCTCCAGTATCAAGCAGTTTTAGGCAAAATCTCAAATTCCTGAAAACTTAACCTCCAGACTCCATATTGGGCAAAGTTGCCAGACCTATTAATGATTATTCTGTCAGTCTAATCAGAGAAATACCTCTTAATAAATATACATTAAAACCAACAAACCCAGCTGCCTTTTTATAGAAATTGATAAGCTGATCCTAAAATTTATATGGAATCGCAAGGGACCCACACTATCCAAAGTGATCTTGAAAAAGAACAAAATTGGAGAACTCACACTTTCTGATTTTAAGACTTGCTACAAAGCTACAGGAATAAAAATTGTGGTACTGACATAAGGATAGACAAATAGATATGGAATAAGAGTCCAGAAGTAAACCTGCACAGGAGATTTTCCTGGTTCTCCAGATCCAAGTGTGATTCTGATGAGTCTCAGTGGTCCTTTGAGTCTTAAGGAATTATCCAGATCCTTGAATTTGTTTCTTCTCAATACCCAGACAGAGCTGTTTATAAACAGGAGCACTAGAAAGGATGATTACAAAAGACCAGGACATCCACAAGGCATCACATCAAAGGTCAATTACTATGGTCAATTGATTTTTGACCCTGGTGCCAAAACTATCCAATGGGGAAAGAATGGTTTTTTTCAACAGGTGATTCTGGGACAACTAACTATCCACATGGAAAATAATGAATTTGGACACGTACTTCATGCTGTATACAAGATCATCTAAAAGTGAATCAAAGACCTGAATGGGAGAGCTAAAACTACAAAACCAATTGGAACAGCTTGTAGGACACATGAAGAGGAGGCAACAAGAAAAATTGGAATATAAAAAAATAGAATTATTAACTCTCCTAGAATCACACACACACACACACACACACACACACACACACACACACCCCCAAAGGGAAGAAAGAAAACAGTAGACAAATATGAGAAAGGTGATGTATTTATATAAGGTAGAGCAGAAGGACTCAAGGCAAATTGTGAGGAAGGGATGAGAAGACTAGTGAGGCAGCAATATGCCCACGAGTGTGGGTGCCAGTAGTCATGGAAGAGGCCACCAAATAACCTTTTGTTGCCCAGAGCATCTTGGGTGGACATAGCGAAGCAGTCTGCGTACTGGCTCATAGTCACTGTCAACTAATAACTAAGTGAGATTTTCTCTAGGATTTAAAAAACTGTTTTAACCTATTTCCAGTTTCTTTTTTTTTATTTCAGTTTTACTCTTTCATCACCATTTATCCCCTCTGTGCCCACCTTAAGAGCAGATCATTTAGTGTTTTGTGTGAGCCCAGTTGTTACATTGTCTTCCACTAGCTGACCCAGAGTTCTTCAAGTGTTAACATAACTTGTTTTACCATTTCTCACAGGCCTGTTTTATATGGGTGCGTCCAGCAGATGGCAATAGAATTCTTAGACTTCAGATCCACATTTTGCCCAATAGAAATATGTAAGCCTTTTGTGTCATTTTCAGTTTTCTAGGAACCACTTTAAAAAAGTGAAATTAATTTTATTATATACTTCTATATTTAATCAATGTACAAAAATATTAATGAGGTATTCTACATCTCTTTTCATACCAAGTCTGCAAAATCCACTGTGTATCTTATAAAAATTTTCATCAGGAATGCTCAATATATATTTAGATTTCATAAAATATGCAATCGAAAGAGTAGATTCACATACCTAAGTTCAAGCTGAATCAAGTGTCTAGTTTAAAATTTAAATTAGTAAAATGAAAATTTAATTTCTTAGTCATACCACATTTCAATGCTCAAAAGACATATAGTCTAGTGCTACTGTCTGCACAGCATGATTCTAAATCTGTTTTTACATGTTCTGGTGTCTGACTATACATGATCCTCCCATTAGTAACTAAAGGATTGACAATTTCAGGTGTACGTGAAGCATTTAAGATATTCTTATGTCTGTTTATCTAGGAAGCAAGTAGTGGTAAAACCTTTGTCAGAAAACATGACCACACCTTATTTGTGTATTTGTAGAGCTAAGTGAAATGTTTTGGATCGGAAATTGCTTTGAATTATTTGTTTATATTTTAATCATTTCTTTAGGTCTTTGTGTGTTTTGATACAGTTCGTTTGAATTGGCTAAATAAATCATTTTGCTTGCTTGCAAAATTCCCAAAGGAGAAACTTTAAATCCATATACATGAGATTTCTGCTATGTTTAGCCATATATTTGCCAAGGCCTTGTGTATAATTTATTTCTTCTTAAAGCCATAGTGCAGCCCATGGGGTAGTTTTCAGCTAACCTTGTGACATACAGATGAGGCAGTAGAATTTAGAATTTGGAACAGGTTGAGTACTGGTTTTTGCAGTTAATACAACATAGAGTAGTCACTCCATTTTTTTCAGTCAGTAAATTGAATTAAGTCATATATCAAGCAGTTTCTATTTAAAAAAAAAAAAACTAAAAAACAAACAAACAGCTAAACGGCTAAGGAAAGTGATGATAATTGAAAAGAATTCATTGACCTGCTGAAAACTGTGAGTGAAAATGCCCCTCTGGTCTTCCCACCTGCCCTTGTGAGCTGTCTTGGTGAGGCATTTTGTTAGTATAGGTGTATACACCTAGCTTAATGTTTGATGTGTGTGAGGGGTAGGGTGGAGTTGGGGGGAAGGGAGAGAATGATGTGATTAGTGTAGATCTAGGAAAACTAGAAAATCATCAAATGAAGCAAGGTGTTTTTTAGTGACATCCTGTCACCCAAGTCTGGTATTGATCTTCTGTTACTGTGTATCTTAATCAGTCCTGGGCTGCATTTATATATTCATGCCTAGTAAATGTGTGCTTGTCCAGTGATGGGAGTGGTTAGAAATACTCCTTTTCACCCTCAATTTAAGCAGCTTTTCCACTACATTTATAACTGCCACTTTCTCCCTAACTCTGAAAGCTCCCCTGCTTGGTGGCAATTTTGCCTGGTTTTAAGCATTTTCCCTGGGATACGCTGTATTGTTTCTATTTGGTCATTATCAAAATTAAGCTTCCCTGAACTTGAACATGGCTGGTGGGGGGAGTAGCTTTAGAGACTTGATTCTCCCTCACCCTGCTCCATGGAGGGGGATTCCTACAGAGGTTCCTCTCCATACGTGCAGTCAAGGTTGTTCAGGATTGCTTATGAAAACCAGTCTCTTAGGTCACAAGTGTGTCTGAGAACAGGTGATGTCTTTGTAGAGGACCCATGTCTTATTGTCTTCTTTCTAAAAATAATCTTTACCTCAAAAAGGCTTTTTATCATCTCTGCTTCCAATTATGGGATGTGTAATGAATGTAAACATACCATTTAGGTTTTCTTTCCCTTTCATATAACATTATTTCTAAAGCTAAGCTCAGTTATTTTTAATTGCTGCCTAATAGTTCATCAAATTAATATACATTGTTGTTAAATATTTGCTCAGTTCCTAGTTGGCTGCATTATTTCACAATTGGGAATGAAGTGGCTATATTTAACCAACATTGATCATTACCCAAGCACCTTCTCTCCCCTGTTTCAACCGTCCCCTTGGGCATTAGTTTCAGAGCTGAGATCAAAGGGTCAAAGGGATGATCATTTTTATATTTCTTGATGGGTCTTCCCAAGAGATCTCTGTCTTTTTTTTTTTTTTTTTTGGTACGTGCCCCTAGTGGGAACCGAACCCAGGACTCTCTGGTCCGCAGGCCGACGCTCCAACCGCTGAGCCAACCTGGCCAGGGCCCAAGAGATCTCTCTTAATAAGGGCTTTTGGTGCCACAGGAAGTCTCCCTGGTGGAGGATGCAAGTGGTGTGCCAGTAAATCCCACTCTAGGATGAGGGCTGACTATGTGGTTCCAGTCTCATGTGTAAACCTTACTCGGTAGCAGGAGGTTAGGTTAAGCTTGATGGTGTGTGCTGCTGGTCTGACTGCTTACTCTCAGATTCACTTCTCCCTATAGCTCTGCCTTTCTTTCTTCTCATCTGCTAAGAGAATTCAAGTGTCTGTCCAAAACCGTTTATATACTGAACAGTAGAGAGGACAGCATCTATTAATTTTCCCAGTCCTATCTCCACTTTCATGCATGGAGTGAGGGCTTATTCTCATGCCTGTCCTAGCCTAAAGCCCTGCTTGCTCATAGATTGCAGTCACGCAATTGCATTTGGACTGCTCACTGTCCTTATCAAAGCATTTCTGATTAAAACAAGAGAGCCAGAAACCAGAGAAAATAGCAAAGAAAGCTGGGACCAGATGACCTGAGGGAGCTATGATCCATTTTATTTTTACACAGCTATATGTATTTCCACCCAAAAATGTATCCTTGGATTAGTGCCAGGAAAAGGATGTATGCCCTTTTCTCTTCTTTTAAATCTGTACCCAAATTCCCCCTTGACTTTGTTCTAGTCAAATGTACTTGGTTTTCGCAAAGACTGTTCAGAATGTTTCCTCTTTTCACCCCTGATCTACTTGTGCCCTACTGTGTCCCCCTGGCAGTTTGCTGTGTCTGTGCCTTTTAAGTACCCTTCCAGGTACACCTAGGACTGAAAGTCCTTTTAACTGTAGGCAGAAATCAGGGTGCTGTGGATGCAGCCCCGCTCCTTGGTTAATCCCTCCAGCAGCTCTACATCTCACACCTGCCTTCCCATCACACATTCCCCCACTGCCAGCCCCTGAGAGGAGCACCTGAAAATACAGGTGCCTCCTTTGTTTGCAATCCTTCAAGGGTTTCCTATCACTGACAAGATGAAGTCCAGACTCAGCATTTTCCACAAGCTCCTCTCAGCTGGCCCCTGCCCACCCTCCCACACGGCCCTCCCCCGTCCACACTAACCTGTAGCATCATATAGTTACTGGCAGTTCCTCAGACTTGCCAGGCATATTAGACCTGCAGCTTGAACAAGTGTTCCCATTGCCTGGAACGCTCTTCCTTTCCTTTTCCACTACTCAACTTCTATTTCTAGATCAGTTTTTGTCATTTCTAGTGTGCAGCCTTCTTCAACCACTTTAAATAATTACCTCTTTCTACTTAACATTCATTGAACACTTAACCCTGTGCTAGGCATTGTGCCAACCCTTTACATGCATCTTCTCGATTAATCCTCTTTGTCCTGGGAGGTGGAGACTATTGTCCATATGGGGCCCTTGAAGGCATTACACAGATCAAGTGCCAGGCACAAGGTGAGCTCTTAGCCACCTAGTGACACTGCCTTCTCTGGGCTTCCATTCTGCCTTGCAGAGAGCACTCTGACTTGCCACTGTAGGCTGGTGTACGTGCCTCTCCCCTCATCTCTGCCCTGTTCCTAGCCTATAACAGAGGAGACAGGCAGCAAATTGTGGAATGAAGGTGATGCTAGGCCCATGCCCATCTTTTTTATGCTTTTTTTTTTTTAAATCCTCACCCAAGAATATTATTTACCATTTATTTCAGATAGAGTGGAGGAGAGGGAGAGGAGAGAAAGATAGAGAGAGGGAGAGAGACATTGATGTGAGAGGGACACATTGATTAGTTGCCTCCCTCATGACCCTGATCAGGGCTGGGGATGAACCTCAACCTAGGTACATGCCCTTGGCTGGAATTGAACCCACGACTCTGGTTTACAGGCCGATACTCTAACCACTGAGCCAAGCCGGCCAGGGCTTTTATGCTTTCTTTATAAGCTTCTTATACAATCTTTTCATTTCTTTGTGGGAGTTGTTTTGAAACTTTGCTTATAGCCATGTACATGGATCTCTTAGGCTATCCATTGGATGGATCTCGATACCGCAAATATTTTTCACTTTCTTGCATGTGAAAGACTGTGCTTAGTGTTGTGGAAACTATAAAAGAAGAGATGATATGGTCCCTGCCCTCCATTTGCAGAGATGAAACTTACCACATGGGACACAACTAATAATTAAAGACAATACATTTGAGTGTTTGTATTGAGTATTTGATTATATAACAAATGCAAATTCTTTGGCATGACATACAAGGCCCTTCATGATTTAATTGTAGACCACTTTTCCTACCTCATCTGCTCCTCTCCCATAGACCTCTGTGACCCCAGCCATACTGATGTGTTTTGTAGTTCTCTGAACCCACTATGCTTTAAATATCTCTCTTCCTTTGTACATACAGTTCCTTTTGCTAAGAACGCCTTCTCCTTCCTATCTGCCTGGCAACTTCTTACTTATCTTTTACGACAACCTTCAGTGTGACCTTTATATATTCTGTATGTCAATTATGTAAGTCTTTTGTCTGCTAAACAGTGAGCTAGTTGAGGGCAAGGCCCATGTCTCAGTGATGGAAACATTGAATGAATGAATGAACGAATGAAAATTGGATATTTGGGAAGGAGGGAGTGATGATGTTTCAACCTATCTAGTTGACAGTCAGTAACGCATGTGACTGAAAGAATAGAGATCTGAATAAGGTGACAAAGATAATTTGGGTTTATTCTTTCATGTGAAACAAGTTTGGAGGTAGGTGGCTACATGCTGGTGTTGGGGGGGTGGGTGCCATGATATTTATCAGAAGCCAGGCTCTATTGCTCTGCTTGACCACCTTTAATGTATAGCTTCCATCCTCAAGGTAGCCTCAACTCCAAATGGCTGCTGGAGTTACAGCCATCTCATCCATTCCAGAAGAATGAGAAGGGCAGTGGGTAAAGAAAAAGTGTCCTGTTTGTGAAGGCATCTTCCTTTAAAAAGATTTCTCAGCCCTGGCCAGTTTGGCTCAGTGGTTAGAGCGTCGGCCTGCGGTCCTGAGAGACCCAGGTTCGGTTCCCGCTAAGGGCATGTACCTCGGTTGCAGTTTGTCCCCAGCCCTGGTTGGTTGTGCGGGTGGCAGCCACTCGATGTGTCCCTTCACATCGATGTTTCTCTCTCTCTGTTCCTCTCTCTCTCTCTCCCACTCTACCTGAACAAAAAATGGAAAAATGTCCTCGGGTGAGGATAAAAAAAAAAAAAAAAAGATTTCTCAGTCCTACTCAACAGCTTCTGCCTGAATTTGGTCACATCATCACCTCTAACTGAATTTTGAAGAGAGAAATATATGGTAATAAATATAGGGTTTTTTGGTGTGCATTTAATTCAAAATGACATTTCCTTTTTTTAAAAAAAAAAAGCTCTTAGATTTGAATAGACTTTTCTCTAAAGAAAATGTAAATTGGCCAATAGCACATGAAAAGATGCTCAGCATCACTAGTCATTAGGGAAATGCAAATCAAAACCACAATGGGGCCCTGGCCGGTTTGGCTCAGCGGTTAGAGCGTCGGCCTGCGGTCCTGAGAGACCCGGGTTCGGTTCCCGCTAAGGGCATGTACTTCGGTTGCAGTTTGTCCCCGGCCCTGGTTGGTCGTGCGGGTGGCAGCCACTCGATGTGTCCCTTCACATCGATGTTTCTCTCTCTCTTCCTCTCTCTCCCTCCCACTCTATCTGATCAAAAAATGGAAAAATGTCCTTGGGTGAGGATTAAAAAAAAACAAAAAACAAAAAAAGCCACAATGGGATGCCACTTCACATCGAGAATAAAAAAGACATAATAACAAGTGTTGACAAGGACATGGAGAAATTAGAAACCTCGTACATTAAAGATGGGACTGTAAAATAGTGCAGCCACTTTGGAAAACAGTCTAGCAGTTCCTCAAAATGTTAAACATTTAGTTACTATATGACCGAGCAATTTTACTCCTAGGTATATATCCAAGAGAATGAATACATCTGTTCACACAAAAACTTGTACATGAATGCTCATAAAATCACTAATCATAGTAGATAAAAAGTGGAAACAACCAAAATGTCCATTAAATAATGACTAGATCAACAAATTGTGGTATGGGCATATAATGGGATATTATTCTGCTGAAAATGAAGTACTGATATCTACTATAACATAAATCTCAAAAACATCATGCTAAGTGAAAGAAGCTAGTCACAAAAGGCCACACATTATATGATTTCATTTATATGAAATGTCCAGAACAGGCAAATCTATAGAAACAGAAACTAGATTCATGGTTGCCTGAGGATAAGGGGAATGGAGAGTGACCGATAATGGGTTTATTTATGGGATGATGAAAATGTTCTAAAATTAGATAGTGGTATTGACTGCACAACTTTGAATATACTAAAAACCATTGTACACTTTTAAAAGACTGAATTGTATGGTATGTGAATTATATCTCAATAAAGCTGTTGTAAAAATCAGCTTTTATCTATAAGACATATCTTCAAAATTAACCTCAAAGGAAAGGAACTGGTAGGGGGTAGGGAGAAGTTCCTCAAACCAGTTAACATTGCAAGGATTTTATTTGTCTTCTCTTCATCTGAGTCCTGGCTTTAAAAAAATCAGGACTGCAGGGTCAGGGTCAGATCCTCTGGCTGGCGGCCCAGATGACAGAGATTCTGAGTGGTTTCTTTGTTCTGCAAATTAACCATTTTAAAAAAATGAACCTATTTTTTGGAGTCCCCAGAGCTGAGGAATAGATGCTAGGGGTCAGCAAGTAGACATAGGAAGCTGCTTTATCTGCAAGTCAGTTGGATATCAGAAGAGTTTTCTCTATGGGACTCTTGTTCTTAGGAGATGTTGCTAATAGAGGGGCAGAGGCAGCTCAAAGGCCATGGGTAAGTAGTGTGGCACTTGGAAAGGCCTCTGTGCCAGGAGTCTGCAGAAAGGCCGCTCCTGACAAACCAGAGTGATAATAGCCTTTTCACCGCAGCGTGGTCGCACCAGACTGTGGCACGAACATGCTCTGTAGGCATTGATGGTGTGCACCAGGGGCCTGGTACCAGAATGGTGAACTTTGGAGGACATGGTTTGAAAGGTGACAGAATGAAGATTGTCTGGTGGGAGAGAATGGCCATGGACTTGGTGGGGAGTAATTGTTAGGCTGAACGTAGTAGAATTGATGGTTGGAAGGCTGTGGTAACAAGAATTGTCAGAAGGTGCCAGCCAGTGGTCCTTCTGCTCTAAAGGCCACCATTACTAGTAAGTACGCTCATGGCTGATTTAAGTCAGACAACAGGGGGACTCACTGACACTGCGTGGAAATGGTGGCAAAGGTGATCAGTGGTGGGGCACTCTTCTGCTCTCAGCTTCCCTTAGACCATCCTTTCCTATGTGTTCTGATTCTTGAGTGTCTTTTATAGAGGCTCATATTCTCCCAAAGCCCGTCAGAAATCAAATCATTTTTGTGCCATATGAGATCAAGAAGTGACTTTATAGTTTTATTAATGCATTTTAGATCGATATATGGACAATGGTATGTCCTTGTGGGGTTTATTTTGATCAGATGAATGAAACTTTCAGATCTGATTATAAAAGCCTACAGGTTCGCCCTGGCCGGTTTGGCTCAGCGGTTAGAGCGTCGGCCTGCGGTCCTGAGAGACCCGGGTTCGGTTCCCGCTAAGGGCGCGTACCTCGGTTGCAGTTTGTCCCCGGCCCTGGTCGGTCGTGTGGGTGGCAGCCACTCGATGTGTTCCTTTCACATCGATGTTTCTCTCTCTCTCTCTGTTCCTCTCTCTCCCTCCCACTCTATCTGAACAAAAAATGGAAAAATGTCCTCGGGTGAGGATAAAAAAAAAAAAAAAAAAAAAGCCTACAGGTTTATTCGCAGTTTTTTTCTAGCCATTTTGTGTTCATCAAATTGTTCTTCATTCTCCCTCTCTTCAACCAGTGGTCTATTTTTGGTGTAAAGTAAGAACATAAAACACAATTTAGAAGGAGGTCAAGGTAAAAACCACCTTGTAGCATCTAATGGTACTCAGCTGACCCAGACATGAGTACACTTATCTGCTATCCTTACAACCACATATGTCCACTTGATGAGCCCTCAGAGCTCTCAAGAAGTCTTATTAAAGCGGCAAAATACTTATTATAGTTTGCTGATTTTAAGGTACACATTTTCCCCATTTTAACATCTCTGAAATTGTGATATCTTACAGTCAATGGTATCTTACATTGATATTTTTCTTGTAAGATGATGTATTAGTTACATCAAATCTTAGGTTTTATGAAATGTGGCAAGTGATATTAGTCATTGAATTAAGAAAACTCATCCTCCTATTCTTTCCTGTCTGTCCTTGGGTGACATACTGAATAGTTCTATGCCCATCCTTGCACTGCAACCAGGAGCTTAACCAATCAGGAAGCTTATCACCTTCCTCCAGAGAGAGCCAATGACATATCTTTTTGTTTTTGCAGGTTTTTATTACTAGACCACAAGCTGATCTTCCACCCTCAAATCTCGAACTATAAAAGGTACAAAGGAACCTTTCTTCCTTCCCCATCCTTTCCATTCCTTCAGCCCCTGGGGTCCCTCCACAGGAACTCAGTTTGTGTGAATGTTCCTGGAACCTACTCATCCCCAGGCCCTCCCCAAAGTGACTCACGAATGTGGGTCTATCTGAGGTTTCTCTGGGAAGAAACGGGAGAAGGGGCATCCCTTTGCCCTACTATGGAGGGAGTGGCCAATGATTATCCTTTCTGGGTAGGACCTGCTGGCTTAGGACCTACAAGGGCCACTTCAGCACTTCCATTCTGTCTGTCTCCATGCCTTCACCTTAAGTAAGAACTTTCACTTTCATTCACCTCTCAGGGTGCTCTGACTCTTTACAGCTGAAGGTCCCTCTTGCCCAAGATGAACATTATTACCTAACAGTATGCATGCTCTAGCAATATGAACAACATCAAGAGTAATCGAGAACTATACCAGCAATACACAGCCATGGCCCCTAAGCTGCTGGCCCACATCTCCAAATTACTCATCACGTGCCGGAACTCAGGCATTGCTGTACCTAAGGGCATCAGAAACATCTTTGAGTTCACTTGGGAGGAGCTTATCACTGACCCCATGGTGCCTACCCCATCTGACATCCTGGGCCTGGAAATCAGCCTTGGGACCCCGCCTGTGGTGCCTGTGGAATCAACCCCTGTGCAGGTCCCCATCCAGAAGAAGCCGCTGCCGCCACCAACAGTACAATCGCCACCAGTGCTACCCACATCCACTGCACCAGCCAGGTTCACCAACCAGCGTCCCAACCGTGGTCATCGGGAGACCCTGCACAAGTTCCATCGGCAGTCCATCCATCTGCTGACAGAGCTGCTCACCCTGAAGATGAAGGCCATGGTGGAGTCTGTGTCTGGTACGGCTGGCTTGTCAGATTCTTCTCCACTTTTTTTCTGGGACTGGAATGGTCTGTCTGGACTGATGCGTGTGTGTCTACCTTACCCACCCCAAACATGCATCTAAGGATGTGCTGGGAGCAGGTGGCTGCCATGGATATGCTATAGGAATTGAACTCCTTCCTCGACCACCCCCAGGAATCATCCTCTCACCCCTCTCTGCTCTCCACTTTTTCTTCCCATTCCCCCAACTTTGCAGAGCCAACACTGAAAGGTTGGGCATGGAGAATGGTGCGAGGTCAGAGGTACTGATGGGTAGAGCTTGTGGAAATGATGCAGAGGTACCCAGGAGGAGGGGGCATGTGGAGTTGCTAGTCAGGAAGAACAATTGGTGGGTGGCAAAACAGAGCCCAGTAGAGCCAGAATCAGGGAGAGTTATGAGAACTGGGGTCTATCCATGGTGAGGGTATCATCCCAAGATCAAGGCCAGGACCTTGAGCCACATCAGTAATTAAGCCTTCTAAATCCTGCGTTATTTTAAATACCAACAGCATTAGTAACCAGGTCTATAGGTATGGAAGAGGGGGCAAGAGAGTAACATGCCACCTGACAGGTTTTGAGAGCTCGAGACCCTTCCATCAGGAGCCCCCTCACTCTTGCTTATCCTAGGTATAGATCTCCACTCTACCCTTATTTCAGGGCCATTTATGGAGGTCCTTTTCTGGAAACATTAGCTGCATGCTGGGAGGAAAATAAGTTGCTCTGATGATTCCTTTAGCAGGTGCCAACCCCCTGGACATCACAAGGCGCTTTGTGGAGGCCAGCCAGCTCCTCCACCTCAATGCCAAAGAGATGGCTTTCGACTCCCTGATTGGCACAGTTGGGAGGAGTGACTTTGGTGTTGGACAGATGGGGAAAGGTGGGTACCTGAGCTTTAGCCCTTAGGTGAAAGTTCAAATAGTACCAACTAGAATGCAGTGGAATGGTCAAATCCCCAGTTTAAATGTTTGACATTTCCAAGAGTTGAAGTGGATGTGCAACAACAGAGGTTCTCAGATGCTGTAGGTGAGTGTATAAATTGGTGCAATTCCTGTGGAGAGCAGTTTGGTGGTATCTGTGAGATGGGAGATGCTCTAACATCTTACCACCCAGCAATTTCTCCTAGTTTATTCCCTAGAGCTGTGCTTCTCAAACTATCTTCAGTGAAGGACCAACTTGCAAATTTCTAATCTCTTGTGGCCTGACCCTTGTAAAACTATGATAACGATGTCACAGCAATGTCAAATTGCTACAAAGGTTTCTAAATGTTTACTCTGAATTTGTATACTCACATGGTCATGGCTTGGTGTGAGTTTATACCAGTCTATAGGTCATACATGAGAGTCATACTTGGCACACATGTGTAAGAAATCATACCTGAATGTTTATCGCAGAATCATTTGGAGTGCAAAAAGTTGGAAAAAAACTAAATGTCTATCAACAGGAGAAAAACAAGTAAATTATAGTCTATTTGACAATGGACCATAATGAAAAGTGAAAACGAAAATGAATCAAGCACTAAAGCACATATATCAATAGAGATAAATCTCAAAAAACAGTGTTAAGTTAAAACAGGCAAATTATAAAAGGATACATTTGGTATGATACTCTTTAAATAAAGTTTAAAAGATTGCAAAGTAATAATACATCGCTTATTGGTTTATTATACAAAGTACAAGTATAAAAGCACAAAGTTGGAGGAAGTGATCTTTGGAGAAGGTGGAGGGGAATGGGATCTGGATGACACAGTGATTCAGTCATACCTGTAATATTGTATCTCTTAAGCTTGGTGGATATATAAGCATTCATTTTGAATGCTTAAAGTCCTCACTGTTAGGAAGTTTCAAAAGGAAGCATAAAATAAGTATACAGTAGTTTCCCCTTATCTGCAGTTTCACTTTCTACAATTTCAGATACTCATGGTCAATTGCGATTTGAAAATATTAAATGGGCCCTGGCTGGTTTGGCTCAGCAGTTAGAGCGTCAGCCTGTAGGCCACAGAGTCCCAGGTTCGGTTCCTGCTAAGGGCATGTACTTCGGTTGCAGTTTGTCCCTGGCCCAGTTGGGGTCGTGTGGGTGGAGGCCAATCGATGTGTCTCTCTCTCTGGTTGATGTTTCTCTCTCACTCTTCCCCCCTCTCTCCCTCCCACTCTATAAATGTAAAAAATGTCCTCAGGTGAGGATAAAAAAAGAAAATATATATATATTAAATGGAAAATTTCAGAAATACATAAACAGTTTATAAGTTTTTTGTTTTAAATATGTTTTTATTGCTTTTTAAGAGAAAGAAGGGAAGGGAGAGAGAGATAGAAACATCGATGTGAGAGAGAATCATTGATCAGCTGCCTCCTGCACACCCCGCACCAGGGATTGAGCCTGCATCTTGGGCATGTGCCCTGACTGGGAACCAAACTGAGACCTCTCAGTCCATGGGACAATGCTCAATCCACTGAGCCACACCGGCCAGGCAGTTCATAAGTTTTAAATAGTGTGCCATTTTGAGTAGTGTGATGAAATCTCGTGTTGTCTTACTCCATCCCACCCAGGATGTGAATCTTCTCTTTGTTCAGCTTATCCACATTGTAGACACTCCTCATTCGTTAGCCACTTAGTAGCCATCTTGCTTATCAGGTGGATTGTCATGGTATCACAGTACTTGTGTTTAAGTAACCCTTATTTTACTTAATTATGTCCTCAAAGTGCAAAAGTAGTGATGCTGGCAATTGGGATATGCCAAAGAGAAGCTGTAAAGTGCTTCCTTAAATTGAAAAAAATAAAAGTTCTAGACTTAATAAGAAAAGAAAAAAAATCAATCATATGCTGAGATTGCTAAGATCTATGGTAAGAACAATCTTCTACCTGTGAAATTGTGAAAAAGGAAAAAGAAATTTATGATGATTTTGCTGTTGTACCTCAAACTGCAGAAGTTACGGCCATAGTGTGTGATGAGTGCTTAGTTAAGATAGAAAAGGCATTACATTTTTACACAGAAGCCATGAACGAAAAATGTGTTCTGATTATGGAAACATTTTGCTCCAGAAAGCACTGAGCCTATATAAAGACTTCAGCAAGGCATCCCCTGAAACGAGTCACACTGAGCCATTTACTACAAGTAGGGATGTTACACGGATTCAGGAATAGGTTTGGACTGAAAATTATAAAAATTACTAGAGAGAGACCACAATCACATAACTTTTACTGGAGTATATTGTTATAATTGTTCTATTTTATTTTTGTTGTTAATCTCTTACTGTGCCTAATTTATAAAGTAAGGTTTATCATAGGTATTTATGTATGGAGAAAACATAGTATATATAGGTTTTGGTATTATCAACAATTTCAAGCACTCACTGGGTTTCTTGGGATGTATCTCCTGTGGTTAAGGGGGGCTACTATATCTCATATAAAATCCATCCCCACTTAGCATCTCTCCTGTCCACTGAACGTTTGCCAGGCTTCCCTTGAAGGTCAGAGGTTAAGCATCTGATAATAATATTCACATAATATTAATAATAACATCCACAAATAAATTGCATAGTAAAATTGCAATTCTTGGGGGGGAAATGTGGATTTTATAAAGTCAGTGAAAGTGACTTGGAGAGCTGCTTGATTTTCACATGAAGCCACTGATGAGTGATGCAGTAGAGCAAAACTAGTTAACAACTGAAGACAAGAAAACCATCTAGGGTAATAATGGCTCTATGGAGAAAGAATGGTTGGGTATCAAAGGATTAGAAATAGAAATCTATTGCCCTGGCCGGTTTGGTTCAGCGGTTAGAGCGTCAGCCTGCGTTCCTGAGAGACCCGGGTTCGGTTCCCGCTAAGGGCGCGTACCTCGGTTGCAGTTTGTCCCCGGCCCTGGTCGGTTGTGCGGGTGGCAGCCACTCGATGTGTTCCTTTCACATCGATGTTTCTCTCTCTCTCTCTGTTCCTCTCTCTCCCTCCCACTCTACCTGAACAAAAAATGGAAAAATGTCCTCGGGTGAGGATAAAAAAAAAAGAAATAAAAATCTATTCAGTTCTTGGATTTTTTCTTTTTTTTTTTATCCTCACCCGAGGACATTTTTCCATTTTTTATTCAGATAGAGTGGGAGGGACAGAGAGAGAGAAACATCAACATGAAAGGGGCACATCGAGTGGATGCCACCCATACGACCCAGCCAGGGCCGGGGACAAACTGCAACCGAGGTACGTGCCCTTAGCGGGAACCAAACCCGGATCTCTCTGGACTGCAGGCCAACGCTCTAACCGCTGAGCCAAACCAGCCAGGGCAGTTCTTGGATATTTTTGCAAAAAAAAAAAAAAACAAAAATGAAGCAACTCATATTTTATTGCTATCATACAACCATTCAGGAAAAAAGAAAATGACACCACCTCAAAAAAATTGACATAGTTTTTATTTCTAATAAAAATTAGCATGTACTTACAATATCAATGAATTTTTGTTAAATACAAGATAAAAGAAGGTGGGTTTTTTTTGTTTTTAATTTTGTTTTTCTTTTCTAAGTTAAAATCCCATTGCCCCCCACACTATTTATCATGGAGTTCTCTTATGCCGGTTCTGTTACAGATCAGCTATGCTCTGATAACACAGGTCCTCTACATTATGCTGTAACTGTTTTTGCTGATGGTTACCAGCATGTGTGGAGTTCTGCACCTTGTGTTCCATACAGGACTTAGGGATCCATCTCATTTAGGGTGGACAGCTGCCTGTTGGTCTGTTTATGAGTAGAGAGAGGCTCGTGGGGGATGTCATCTGGGCTCTGGCCCAAGCACCCACCCTCAGACCTGCCCATGGTGCTCTCTCACCTGAATATTCTGTTTTCTCACCTTGCAAAGGAAACGGTCATCACTGATTGCCCTCTACTTCATGAAGTATTTAAGCATTCTTACAGAGTCACAGGCTTTTATCTGTGCTGCAGTAGCTTCTGGTGTTCCCCGTAGGTTGTGGTTAATCTAGTGGAGGAGAAATTGCCAAGAGCTGAACTCCAGAGAGAGGGCCTTTCCGTGATGTCTGTGTCCTACTGCATTCACAGAGCACTGGGAAAGCCTCCCCCTCCATCCCACTCCCCAGAAAGTCTCTCTCACTTGTTGCCACATTTGTTCCAGACACTCCTTTCCTTAAACAAGCCTACAGTTTGAAAAAAAAGAAAAAGAAAAGATAAAATATAAATGAAGGAGCTATCCATTTCTTTTGGAAAAGCATTCATCTTAGAAAGACTTGCTTTAGATGGCTCTCCCAGGTCATTAAAAAGAAAATACAGCCCTGGCCGGTTTGGCTCAGTGGTTGGAGCATCGACCTGCGGTACAGAGAGACCCCGGTTCGGTTCCCACTAAGGGCACGTACCTCGGTTGCAGTTTGTCCCCAGCCCTGGTTGGTCGTGCGGGTGGCAGCCACTCGATGTGTCCCTTCACATCGATGTTTCTCTCTCTCTATTCCTCTCTCTCCCTCCCACTCTATCTGAACAAAAAATGGAAAAATGTCCTCGGGTGAGGATTAAAAAAAAAAAAGAAAAGAAAAAAAAAAAGAAAATACAAATCAACTTATTTTCCATGAACTTTGCTTTTCTAGACCATCTTATTATGTGAGGCAGACCAAAGCTATAACTGAGTCTGGAATATTCTTCCCTTAAAGCTGTAGACAGAATATACATAGTAGTAAGACTGGTTCTAGCCTTTTCTCCTGTCATAATACCTACAAGTCCTGGCTTGTCATGAAAGAAAACTGGGCTGCTCCTTGATTTTTAGTTGATGGCAATATTATTAAATAAAACATACTGGGAAAAAAAAAAGCAAATAATTGTGCCTTCTTTACATATAGCTGTTTTTCTTTCACTTATTCAGTTTTCTTTCTCTCTCCCTGTAGCTTTCGTGTGTGTGTGTGTGTGTGTGTGTGTGTGTGTGTGTGTGTGTGTCTTTAAAAGAATACAGCAATTTTCACCCTGACCAGTTTGGCTCAGAGGTTAGAGCATTGACCCGCCGACCAAAGAGTAGTCCCAGGTTCGATTCCAGCCAAGGGCGAATACCGAGGTTGGGGTTCGGTCCCCGGCCCCAGTTGGGGTCGTGTGGGCAGCAACCAATCAGTGTTTCTCTCTCACATCGATGTTTCTCTCTCTCTCTCTCTCTCTCTCTCTCTCTCTCTCTACCTCCCTCCCATTCTGACTGAAGATAAATGTAAAAATATTCTCAGGTGAGGATTAAAAAAAAAACAACACTGCAATTTTCTATTTTTGTTTCCTTGACTTAACAGACAAATGTTTTCCAACATGGCTATATACTTTTAATAATTGTCATTTTTAGTGGGTATAGATTCCTTCTAATATTTATGTCCATAATTAACCAAATGCTTAGGTTTCCAGGTTTTTCATTATTAGTATAATATGTATTGTAATATGCAACTTTATATATATCACTTATTTCTTTGTATTGGTTATTAAGATTGATTACCCAGAAGAGGGCTTATTGGGACAGAGGGTATCAATATGTGTTTACCTCTTGCTAAATATTGCTTTATTGGTGGATTTTCTCTACACCAGCAGGGTTGACTAGTTTTATTCCATCTTTGCCAGCATTGACTAGTGTTAGTTCTTTTCTGCTAAGGTAAAAGGTACTGAAAGTTGTTCTGATTTCAATTTTGGGATCACTAGTGATGATGAGGGATAGTGCATTGCATCATCCAGTGTGTAGTCTCTGGTTATTGTCTTTGTTTGCTTGTGAAATCAGGTTTGCCATTTGCTTTATGAATTTGTATGAGCCATGCCAATGACTGAATTGCTTAACATTGCCTAACAGTTAACCAATGAAATTACCATTTCCACGAGTGATGGGGGTGCTAAATTCTAATTCTTAAGTGTTCAGATAATCAAATGATTCTATAGAAGACAGTATGATTCTGCAAGAAACTGATCTAATTGTTGGAGAAGCATCTGATCTCTATGGCTTGGATAAGGGTAAATAGATGACTTTAAATTTCTTTTTTTTTTTTTTTAATGAATTTTTTATTTATTTTTTGTTACAGATATTTTACCTTTTTACCCCATTGGCACCCCCCACCCCACCCCACCTCCACCCCGTCCCCGGCTTAGTTCCATGTCCATTGGTCATGCATACATGCATATAAGTTCTGTGGTTTATCTCTTCCCACCCCCCCACCCCCCTACCCCCTCTTCTGAGGGATGTCAGTCTGTGCCCTACTTCCATGTTTCTGGGTCTACTGTATTCCTCAGACTGTTATGTTCATTATATTCCGTATATAAGTGAGATCATGTGGTATTTGTCTTTTTCTGCTTGGCTTCTTTCACTTAGGATAATACTTTCCAGGTCCCTCCATGTCGTCTCAAAGGATAAGAGATCTTTCTTTCTTACCGCTGCATAGTACTCCATTGTGTATATGTACCACAGCTTTTTTATCCATTCGTCTACTGGTGGACACTTGGGCTGTTTCCAGATCTTAGCTATTGTAAATAGTGCTGCTATGAACATGGGGGTACATATATTCTTCCTGATTGGTGTTTCAGGCTTCTTAGGGTATATTCCCAGCAGTGGGATCACTGGGTCAAATGGAAGTTCAATTTTTAATTTTTTGAGGTAGCACCATATTGTTTTCCATAGCGGCTGCACCAGTCTGCATTCCCACCAGCAGTGTATTAGAGTCCCCTTTTCTCCACACCCTCGCCAACACTTGTTGTTTGATGATTTGTTGATGGCGGCCATTCTGACAGGTGTGAGGTGATACTTCATTGTTGTTTTAATTTGCATCTCTCTGATGATTAGTGATGTTGAGCATTTCTTCATATGTCTCTTGGCCATTTGTATGTCCTGTTTGGAGAGGTGTCTATTCAGCTCCTCTGCCCATTTTTAATTGGGTTCTTTGTCTTCCTTTTGTTGAGTTGTATGAGCACTCTATATATATTGGAAATTAACCCCTTATCTGATACATCATTGGCAATGATGTTCTCCCATACAGTGGGTTGCCTTTCCATTTTGATGATTGTTTCTTTTGCTGTGCAGAAGCTTTTTAGTTTGATGTAGTCCCATGTGTTCATTTTCTCCTTTATTTCTGTTGCCTTAGGTGATGTATGAGTGAAAATTCTGCTCCATATGATGTCTGAAATAAATTTCTTTCTAGCTGGTTCATTGTTTATTCTCTCTACTTAGTGCATCAGTTATACCTGTATTTGCCCTTCAGTAATGTCACGTCACCTTTTGTGTTTGCTTGCTGCACCCTGCTCCCTACTCCAGTCATTTCATTCAGGAGAGATATCAGAGGGAGGAAGGGGTTGTATAAAGGAAACTTAATTTCCCTTAATTAGTCAGAGCTTATACACTAAAAAGTCTTTTTACTCCAAGAGGTGGTTGTTTTGTACAACAGGGCACTTTAGAATATCTGGTCTACCACACTGCTAGAACAACAACAACAAATCCACATTATATTTTTGGTTAAGAAAAATTTTAATTAAAATATTTGAAGAAGAATCCCTTTCTCTTCCACTCAAGAGTCCTTCATGAGCATCTCAGCCATGGGAGTGAACTCACCTTATCAGCTTATCTATGAGGCCTCTACTGGCTGTCTGAGCTTTTCCCTCTCAACTGGAAGGGACGCCAAGAGGAAAGCAGGTAATAGTGGTTCCCAGCAAGACCTCTTAGTCCATCTGTGGGGATAGGAATGGGAGTGGCAAGGAGGCAGATAGAAGATTCCGTTTAGGTCAATAGCATAGTTTGATTTGGTTTTCAGATAGGAAGGATACACAGCTTCCCTGGCTTTTGACAGAAGCTATTGATACAGATTTGTTCCCACAAAGTTGACACATCTCAAAGTGCAATCTTACCATTGAATGTTTATATGCCCTCCATTCCTGGTGATGTGGTTCTCCTCACCTGGGACAACACTTCTCTCAAACCCATATTTTCCCCTTAGTAGCCCAAGCTGATTCCCTCTGATCAGAGATATCTGTGTTGCTCTTACTCATAAAGTAAGTGGGGGAAAACAGTATCTGAAGAGAGGTATTTGTATACAAAACCTAACAGTGTGTCTTAAACTGGGTCAGTTCATGTGGGCAGAAAATAAAGAAGACATAGAGAGTACTCCTATTCTATTGAGGAAGACATACAACAGAAGCAAATGCTTAAGGGGAAGAATGGATGGCAGATGAGGCCAAACAGTATAGCAATGACTTAGCAGCCAAAAGCTCAGAGGAGAGATGAGTTGGGGCTGAAGAAGGCATGGTAAGGCCTTAAGGAACTTCCAGGCCTCCCCCTTGCTCCCTGGGCTTTGATGGTAGAGTGGTGGAATGGGGTATGTAGGGGAAGAGGTGGTGGGAGGATCGACATAAGGTAGGAATGCTCAAAGACTGTCCAATTTATTTCCACAGAACCTGGAGGTAAGGCTGGAAGTTGAGAAGTTTGGATTTTATTCCTGCCCCTGCTCCTGGCTGGCTGTGTGATTTGTCTTCCTCCAGGCCTCACTCTCCGAATCAAGCTGATCCTATATCCTTTCAGTTAGTGAACAAATGTTTATCAAACAATTACTAGTTGTCATTTCACTGTTCTAAATGCTTGGGGGTATGCATGTGCACTCTAAGACAAAGAGTGCTTTTCCTAATGGAGCTGACATCCTCAGCTTCCCTGCATATTTTCCTGCACATTTTACCTCTATTGATGCATTTTCTTTCACTGTGGTTCAGTAGCCCACAACATCATTTCTGGCATCCCACTTTATGTACTCCTGGTTTTATCATATCCCTCCTAAGCTGGCCCTAAATTGACCTAGTCACTTTAAGGGAAAACAAAGTATCCTCAAGACACAGAATGATTTTATAAATTTTCTTCCTAGTGACCTCAAGTGTAATGCCTTGAGTAAGGTTGTTCCTAAGCAAAAGTTAATTATGTTTGTTGGTCTCTTTGTCTATATGGCTGTTTTCTTCTGCTACTCCACCAAGGTGCAATTTGTCTTGATGTTTCATCATTCTCACTAGGATGTACAGCCGGCCCTCGTTTATCGCAGTTAATCAGTTCCAGACTCTGCCGCGATAAATGAATTTCCACAAAGTAGGATTTTTTTTACTTATAAATCAAATATTTTCACAGTTAGCATAGAAAACTTGTTTACGACCTTCTAGATACATTTTTTAACATTATTAGAGCCCTCTAGATGTGAAATAATACCCTTTAGTCACCATTACACTTGTATTACCCAATATATTAGACAAAATAAGAGAAAATAAGACATAGTAGACATTACAAATATCATATTATTATTATTTTACATTTAATTACACACACACACAGTTCTTACACATGACGACTAACCTATGAAAATAGTGCAACTTGTTTGATGATGAAGCAACAAAGATGAAGAGATGTACTGCACAGCAAAGAAGAGCAAGGTTACTGCTCCTCTGAAGGCACGACCTCAGTAGGAGAGTCTTCAGGTGGTGCAGTATCTTCAGCAGGTGCGTCATCATCATCTTCTGCTGAAGGAGCACTAGGAGAAGGCAGTGGGTGTCTAGTTACGCAGCTGAAGAACATCGTGATAGGCAGTTGCTGGCGCTGTCTTTTCATATGCATGAGGAGGCTTTTGTAGGGTTCTATCTCTCCATCAAGTGCATTCCAGAACCGCAATGCACGCATCATTTGTGGGTCCCATTTGCCAGTCATGTCCTGTGCTACCTTAATATTTCTCACGACTTGAGAGAGACGCTCAAGGGTAAGGCCAACTTCCACCTCCTGGCCCCTAGGAACCTCTGGCTGCTCTTCCTCCCCCTCACTCACAGACTTAGTCATCTCCACCAGATTCTTGTCAATTAAGGGATCCGAATGTGTCTCCAGCAGCTCATTCACGTGTTCTGGATGATACTCGCCCTCCTCAAGGATCTTCTGGAATGTGCTGTTCATGTAGTCCTCTGCTGCAGGCTAGTCAGCAGAGGCAGCTTCTTTGTGGAGAACGATACTCTTCAGATGATGCCTCTTCTGGAACTTCTTGAACCAACCCTTGTTCACCATGAAATCCATGAACATTGCAGAAGAGGGTCCTAGTTGAGGTTCGTCCACTGTAAAGCACTGATAGAGCTGCCTTGCCTTCTCCTGGATGACCAACGAATTCAATGGAATGTTTTTTTGTGGCTGTCATTGATCCAAACTGCTAGGGCAGACTCTATTTTCACTGTTAACTTATTATGACTTGTCACCACACACTTTGCTTTCTTGTTGAAAGAGATAGCAGCCATTGCACGGATGTTCTTTTCATCTTTACAGATGGAATGAATGGTAGACTCATTCAAGTCATAATGGCAAGCAACCTCCACAATTTTCTTACCATCTATGATCATATTCAAGAGTTTCACCTTCTCCTGGATGGTAAGAATCTTCCTCCGGTGCTTAGTTTCATCGTCACAAGGCTTAGAAGAAGCAGCATGTTTAGGAGCCATTGTGGGGCTTAGATAAAAGTTCTCAGAAATCGCAAACACTTACAAGAGCAAAGAGGCTTCCGATGTGTAGCGATGTAGAAGCATGTATGAGAGAAACAAACTTGCATAAGGCAGAGCCAATCAGTGACCATGATAGGAAGAGGCTAGGATAGCCAATCAGTGAATAGCACACTCTGATTGGCTTGGTTTAACCACACCCAATTTTTGGTAAAAAGTTATTGCCCATACACAAAGAGTGGTCAAGCAGTTGCACCTGGCGTTGAAGGATTTGTGGGGGTGCTTGAATACATAGGCCTACAGTCCATATGTACAATAATTTTAATTTTAATTGTAATACAAGGGTGTACAATTGACTCAGACAACCGAGCACACGCTGTATCATTTTCACTGTCTCAATCAACTTTTTAATGAACATATTTGAAAAAACTGCGATAGAGTGAAGCTGCGAAAGTCAAAACGCAAAGTGGCAAGGGATGACTGTATGTTCAATGATGCTGCATTTCTTACAGATTCTTGATATGTTTTGAAATTATTCTCACACATGTGTGCTAGTATGGATGATTAACCTTCCCTAATAGTTTATAAGTAGACATACATCCTATCTTGCCCAGGAACGTCCCAGTTTATGATTATTGTCCTGATATAACTATTAATTATGCCCACTTTCACTGTAAAAACTTTCTCAGTTTAGACAATATATTGTAGAGTAATTCTAGTTTTAGGTCATTTTAGGTTTGGGACATTACCTATCTGTTCCATGATCATGTGCTATCACACCTCACCAATCCCTTTTGCAGTTGTAGAGCCAGGGAGACTTGGAGCAGACAGGCTCCAGAAGTTGGGCCGACACCCAAAGGACAATAGATCTTTCTGGGTAGCCCAACTTTACAAGAAGAGAACTGAGATAAGTCTATCAATAATAGTTCATTGTAGGAGCAAGAGGATGTCACCCTTGAGGACCCAAGGCAACCAGGTATAGGCCAGATATAGATGCTCAGGCCAGCAGATGTTCCAGGAGTCAGCCAGCTGGTCATTGGGCCTCAGAGTCAAATCTCTGGTCTCTGGTGGCAGGAGGAGTTGGGGAAGGTACCACTCAGGGTAGCAGATAAAAAAATCCTTCTGAGGCCCTCAGAGCTCAGTTGGAGCCTGAGAAATGCCCTCAACATGCAGCCAGGTTTTATCCTTGTGACCAAGGTGAAGTTGAGCCTGCATATATCCAGGGAGAGCATAAGGCTCCAGCTGGGTGGACAGGACCCGAATAGATGCCTCTGGAACTTCAGTCATGGAGGATCATCTCCACAATTTTATGTCAACGTATCCTCATACCACCTAACATTTGTCACAGAAGATAACTGTAAAAATTAGTGTAACAAACACAAAACATTATTATCCACAGATTTGAGCAGACAGACGAAAATATCAGCAAACTTGAAAATACGGCAGTGAAAATTATTGAATCTGAGAACAGAAAAGAAATTAACAGAGCCTCAGGGACCCATGGGACATCATCAAGTGAAATAATATATATAATGTGGGAATCCCAGAAGGAGAAGAGAGAGAGACAAAGGGACAGAGAAAATATTTGAATACACAGTGGCTGAAAAATCCCCAAATTTGATGAAAGTCTTGAATAGAAACACCAAAGAAGCTCAACAGATTTTGTGTAAGAGGAACTCAAAGAGACCCACATCAAGACACATTATAATCAAATTTTCAAAAGACAAAGACAGAGAATCTTGAAAGCAGCAAGAGAAAACAAACTATTGCATACAAGTAATCTTCAATAAGATTATCAACAGATTTCTCATCAGAAACTTTGGAAGCAACAGGGACTGGGCAATATATTCAAAGCGCTAAAAGAAAAAAATTGTCAATCAAGAATTTTATATCCAGCAAAACTGTCCTTCAAAAGTGAGTGAGGTATTAAAACATTCCCAGATAAACAAAACCTGAGGGGGTCTGTGATCACTAGACTAACCCTGCAAAAATGCTCAGGGAGTTCTGCAAGATGAAATGAAAGTACACTAAATAGTACCCTGAAGTCATGTGGAGAAATAAAGATCTCAATAAAAGTAAAAACCTGGGCTATTTTATTTTTTAAATTAATTAATTTATTTATTTTTGTTATAGATGTTTCTTCTTTTTTAAATCTGGGCAATTTTAAAAGCTAGTAGTATTGTAACAATATTTTGTAACTGCATTTTTTTTTCTACGTGATTTAAAAGACTAATACATTTTAAAATTTATTATTAGTGTAAAAGCTATTACTGTAACTTTGGCTTATAACTCCAAATCTTATTTTCTACATAATTTAAAAGACTAGTGCATTTAAAAGAATTGCTACTTTATGTTTTGGGGCACATAATATATAAAGATGTAATTTTGTGACAACAGCTGAAAGGAGCGGAGACAAAGCTGTAAAGGAGGAGAGTTTTTATATGTTATTGAAATTAAGCTGATAAAAATTCAAATTAGAGCTCTGGCAGGTGTGGCTCAGTTGGTTGGAGCATCATCCTGTGCACCAAAAGGTGATGGGTTTGATTCCTGGTGAGGGCACATACCCAGGTTGCAGGTTCAACCTCTGGTCAAGGCACATGCTGGAGAAACCAATCGATGTTTCTCATTCCTGGTCAGGGCACATATTCAGTTTGTGGGTTTGATCTCTGGTCTGGGCATGTGCTGGAACAATCAATCGATGTTTCTCTTTCACACTCTTCTCCTTCCCTTTCTCTCTCTAAGATTAATTTTTAGAAATTCAAATTAGAGTGTTTTAACATTAGGAGGTTAAATGTAATCCCCATGATAAACACAGAGAAAACAGCTACGAAATATACAAAAAGGAAAATGAGAACAGAATTTAAATATTTCAAAATGTTTAAATATCACCTAAATACAAAGAAGACAGTAATGCAGGATATGAGGGACAAAAAGCTATAAGGCATATAGAAAACAAAAGGCACAATGATAGAATTAAGTCCTTCATCAGTGATTACTTTAAATGTAAATAAACTCTCCAATCAAAAGACAGAAGTTGGCAGAATGGATACAAACATATAATCCAACTATACGCTGTTTATATGAGACTTACTTAAAATCTAAAGACAAACTGAATGTGAAATGTTGGAAAATATATTTTATGCAGTTACCAAAAGAGAGTAGACCAAATGGACTTGAAGTAAAAAAGGTTACAAAAGATAAAAAATGACATTACATATTAATGAAAGTTTCAATACAAGAAGAAGATATGACAATTATAAACATTTGTGTACTTAATGGGAGACCATCAACATATTTGAAGCAAAAACTGACAGATTAAAGACAGAAATAGATAAGTTCTACAATAATAGTTGGAAACTTCAATACCCCATTCACAATAATGGAAAAAAACAATCAGACAGAAGATAAGTAGGGACAGGGGTCCTAAAAAACACAACAAACCAACTAGTTCTAATAGATATATACAGAACACAAACAACAAAAACAAAATACACATTCTTCTCAAGTGGACATGGGACATTTTCTGGAGTAGGCCATATGTTAGGCCATAAATTAAATCTCAATAGATTAAAAAAGATAAATATCATACAAAATATCTTCTTCAATCATAATGGAGTTAGAAATCAATAACAAAAAAGGCTGGAAAATTCACAGAATTGTGGAAATTAAATAACACACTCCTAAACAACCAACAGATTAAAGAAGAAATAACAAAAATTAGAAAATACTTAGGTATGAATGAAAATGAACACACAACATACCAAAACTTAAGGGATGCAACAAAAGTGATAGTAGAGGCCCTGGCCAGTTTGGCTCAGCGGTTAGAGCGTCGGCCTGCGGTCCCGAGAGACCCGGGTTCGGTTCCCGCTAAGGGCACGTACTTTGGTTGCAGTTTGTCCCCGGCCCTGGTTGGTCGTGCGGGTGGCAGCCACTCGATGTGTCCCTTCACGTCGATGTTTCTCTCTCTCTCTTTCTTCCTCTCTCTCCCTCCCACTCTGTCTGTGCAAAAAATGGAAAAGTGTCCTCAGGTGAGGATTAAAAAAAAAAAAAAAAAAAGTGATAGTAGAGGAAATTTATAGTTATAAATGCTTACATTAAAAGACAAGAAAGGCCCTGGCCAAGTGACTCTGTCAGTTGGAGCATCCTTCTGTACATCATAAGGTTGCAGGTTTGATCCCCAGTCAGGTCATGTACAGGAGGCAGCCGATTGATGTTTCTCTCTCACATTAATGTTTCTCTCTCTTGAAAATCAATAAAAACATTTTCTCAGGTGAGGATTAAAGAAAAGACAAGTAAAATCTCAAACAATCCAACTTTACAACTTAAAGAACTGGAAAAAGAAGAAGAAACTAATCCCAAAGCTATAGAAGGAAGGAAATAATAATTATTAGAACAGAGATAAATGAAATAAAAAATAGAAAAAACAATAAAGAAAATAAATGAAATTAAAAGGGGATTCTTTGAAAACATAAACACATTTGACAAACCTTTAGGTAAACTAATTCTATAGAAATAAAAAAGATTACAAAGAATACCACAAACAATTGGACACCAACAAATGGAATAATTTATGTAAAATGGAAACATTTCTAGAAATACAAAACCTACCAAGACTAAATCCATAGATAAATAGGAAATTTGAATAGACATAAGTAGCATGGAGATTGAATCAGTAATTTAAAAAAAACTCTCAACAAAAAAATCCGAGGACCTAGTGGCTTCAGTGGTCCAGACATTTAAAGAAGAACTAATGCCAATCATTTTCAAACATTTCCAAAAATTTGTGGAGGGAATACTTCCCAACTTATTCTATGAGGCCATCATTATCCTGATACCAGAACCAAAGACACTACAAAATAAAGGAAACTGCAGACCAGTATCCCTTATGAACATGGATGCAAAATTCCTCAACAAAATACTAGCAAATAGAATTCAGCAGCATATTAAAAGGATTATACACCATGATACCAAGGATGGTTCAACTTACAAAAAAATCAATGTAATTGATTAAGTCTTCAGTTGCATTTTCATACATGAACAATAAACAATCTGAAAAGAAAATTAGAAAAATAATTTTATTTATAATAGCAACAAAAAGAATAAAATACTTAGGAATTAGCTTAGCCAAGGAATGATAGACTTGTACAATGCAAACTATAAAATGTTACTGAAACAATATAACTCTTAGAAGAAAATATTGGAGAAAAGCTTTATGACATTGGACTTGAAATGATTTCATGATTATGACACTAAAGTCGTAGTCAACACAAGAAAAAATAGACCAACTGGATTTCATGGAAATTTTTAAACTTTTATTGTTTAATTTTTTGACACTATGCACAGAGTAAAAAGGCAGTCCACAAAATGGGAGAAAATATTTGTAATATATATATCTGATAAGGATTGATATCCAGAATATATAGAAAATGTCTAAAACTCAACAACACAAATAAGCTGAATTAACATGGACAAAGGGCTTGAATAGATATTTCTCCAAAGAAGATCTACAAATGGCCAATACGCACATGAAAGATGCTCAACATCACTAATAATTAGGGAAGTGCAAGTCAAAACTACAATAAGATATTACCTCATCCTACCCCTGTAGGATATCTATAATCACAAAAACAAAAAATAAACAAGAGTTGAAAAGGATATTGAAACCATTGTGCACTGCTGATGGGAATGTAAAATGACAGGCGCTGTGTAAAACTGTATGGCAATTCCTCAAAAAATTAAAAATGGAATTACCATAAGATCCAGCAATTCCACTTCTGGGTATATATCAAAAGAATTAAAATCAGGGTCTCCAAGTGATATTTGTACACCCATATTCATAGCAACATTATGTACAATAGCTAAAATGTGGAAGCAATGCAAGTGCCCATCAGTGGATGAATGGATAAAAAAAAATGCGATCTACCCTCAACAGTGAAATATTACTCAACCTTAAAAGGGAATGAAATTCTGACACATACTATAACATGGATGACCCTTTAGGATTTTGTGCTATGTGAAATAAGACAGTCACAAGAAGACAAATACTGTATGATTCCACTTATATGAGATACATAGATAGTCAAATTCATAAAGACAGAGTAGGATGGTGATTTCCAGGGGCTGGGGAAGGGGAAATGGGAGTTATTATCTAATGGGTACAGAGTTTTAATTTTACAAGATGAAAAGAGTTATAGAGTTGTGCAACATTGTGAATGTATTTAACATCACTGAATTGTACACTTAAAAATAATTAAGATAGTAAATTTTTGTTATGTGTATTTTACCACAATATATATATTTAAAAAATTGCAGTCCAATTCTCAATGGAGCCACACTGCTCTCTGCAGAAGGCCTGAAATTAGCCAACATCAGAGAAGTGTTGAAGCCAATTGAGACGGAATTGAAACTTTTTTCTTTAATCAAAAATATCAGAAGGTAATCTCTTTGGCATCCACAGCGAGCACATCTATGCCCTCCCCAACTAGAACCAGGCCACCCTTGGGGAAATATAGGTGGATTCATCACTCTGCACAAGTCTGCTCCTGACACACTCTTAGTTGACTTGCAGAGTAACATCTGTTTTATAAGTGATCTTATAAAACAGGGATTCCTGTCCCAGGAAGCATAAATGATTCTCCCAATTATTCTGACTCTAAGGGGATATGGCTCTCCTGCTCCCCACCACCCCTACCCCAGGAGAAACTATTTTCTAAAACTCTGTTCCTAACCTCTTTATCTCCAGCTACAGGCAAATCAAAATATTTAGAAGAGCTAAGCACGTCATCCCCTCAACGAGGAATCGGAACTTCTGGCTCTGACAATTTGGAATTCAGTGACCCCTGCCCTGAGGCTCGGGAGAAGCTGCAGGAGATGTGTCGTCATATGTGAGCACCTCAGAGGCTGGGAGTGGATGGGAGAGGAAGGCATGGCTGCCAGTCGCCTATGTTGCATAAAGGGGAAATCACATAAGTTTCTGAGTACCAGGAAGTGTCAGCTACCCAGTGTCCCTAACAACAGTGACAGAGTGATGGCCTGTCCTCAGTCTTTCCTCGCAATCCTTTTCAGTCCTTGTATGGCCTCATGAGGAAGATGGGATTTGTGCCCGTTTTGTGAGTGAGGAAACTGAGGCATTGCTTGAGGTCCCACAGCTCCATGGGCCTGACCCCAAGGCATCGATCTTTGCCTCCTCACCAGTGATACCCCTTTCTGAACATAATTTATCAGAGTTCTCCTGCAAAAAAAAGAGAAATACCTTTCAAAGCAAACAAAAACCATTGACACGGATGGTTAATGATATTTATGATATTATGGGTCCAACAAGTCCTAGCAAGTTAAGTCTACATTTCTCTGAAAGCCCAGACCATGGGGCATAAAGGACTTAAAACTTAGTCACATCTGAGCCATATATGTCTTGGGCTTCCTGGGCCATTGAGTATTACAACAGGTACAGAACATGGGTAAAAGGAAGCCACTCAGTTTTGCTCCTTACTATGATATTCTTGAAAGAAGCTCTCTTTCCCTGTAACCTCAGAACTGGAGGGCGAGCAGAGCCTTTGGCACACAGTCCCACTCCATGGGTCCACACCTAGCGCTAAAGATAGAAAGGACTGGTCTCAGAGCTGTACCGGCCTCTTCCCAGTTCTTCCTAAAAATACTAACTTTAATGATGAGGGGTAAGGAGTGGGAACAGGTACTTTTGGGACAGGGAAATGGGATGGGAGTCTTAGGAGCTGGGGAGGGGCTGTAGAGGGGCCTGGTGCGCGACAGCCAAGGGGCTAGAAGATATGTTGGTCTCCTTCCCTGCAGAGAAGCCGAAAGGACAATGTGGAAAGGGAGGAATATCTTCTACCCCATGATCTTACGCAACTACAGGGCAAAGATGCCGTCTCACTCAATGTCGATCTCAAAAGGGGACAGTCAGACCCTGCACTCTCACCCTCCTGGTGCTCATACTTCCATTCCCAACCCTCACCAGCCTTCCATCTTCCATGCTCACTTCAGTCAGCACTCTCAGGAGTGGAAGGGAGGCAAGAAGACCAAGTTGCATTATACCTTCTATGATGGGTCTTCCTTCGTTTAATATCCTTTTATTTGGGGCTGTCCCTTATCTCCAGCAACTCAGCCCCAGAGAATTTCTGGCCTGGGTATTTACTTGTTTTTTTCAATTAATCCTAGAAGCCTGGTGACAGGTTAGAGAGGACTCCCTTTGAAGAATGTCTGGGTGGGAAGCAGCGAATCAGGAAGTCACTTTGGACCCCTGTGTTCCATGCAGGGGTCCTGTCACCAACTCCCCAACATGTTCTAGAGTTGGACCAGACCACAGGTGCCCAACCCATTTGGCATCAAGGCCGAGGTCAGAGAGGGTGAAACATTTATTCCAGGTTTTGTAGTCTGAGTTGGATGAGATGTCAAAGAGGGGAGACACTAAGCCATTATTCATTCTTGTCCCTTTATTGTAGGAATGGGTAGTGTGACTCACTCAATGTCACAGAAGGAATTTGGTGGCAGAGCCAGGCCTGGATTCAGGGCTGTCTCACCTCTATTTAGGGCCCTCTCTCTGGCACCATTCTTACGCCTTTCAGGACTGTTTTCTCCAGCAGAGAGCAGGAGAGAGAGGGTGGACGGGTATTGATAAAAACCACTGGGCATTCTCTGTTCCTTACCTTTGGAGAATAGGGTGGCTCTCTGAGCTGTCAAACAGGCTTCCCAGACAGGCCTGCTTGGCAACACCCTCCTCAATTCATTTGGCGTCCTCTCCACTGAACTGGGAATTCAGAATTTTAGCGCCCTGTCAAAAGAATCCTATTGTTTCTCTGACCGTAAATAGGCCCATTCATCACACTCTGCTTGGCCCTGTTTCTAATGTGCCCTGTGACACTGAACACAGCAAACTCCTTCCAGGATAGCTGCTGCTCCCTATGGGTCATGGGGCTTCCCCCTATCCCCCTTTTCTGACTCTACGCTGCATTGAATAGGATCATCCCCCTGAGCTCCTCATGAAGCTGTGTCTGTGAATTAGGTTGCTATTGGTGGGACCAGAGAGGATGACCTAGTTTACAATCAGGGCCAACCACCAACCTTCTGGGATCCATGTTCTCTCACCTGTCTCAGAGTCCCAAGCCCAACCTGGGTGGGACCACCCAAAACCCGCAGGCCATCACTACTGGTATGCTTGACTCATAACCCAACAATGAACACATCCTGGCAATTAATGTGTTTCCTCTTTGGGAGTCCCAAGAGGTCTGGGTTTTGGGTCTAGTTCTTCTTGGTGACTGCACACAAGTCACTTTATCTCTCTGGCCCTCACTTCCCTCCATTATAAGATGAGGAAGTTGGACCAGTGATTTTGGAGGAGAAATTCTGTGTTACTGTGTTCAGATGGTTAAAGCACACGATGCAGCTGTTGGATCCCTCTTGAGTAAGGAAAATGTTTGGAAAACATTTCCCTTGCCTCATGGCTTCCACAGAACAGTAGGCTCAGCAATTGATTCTGTTTTCACAGAGATACTGGGCAAAGCTCTCAGGTAGAAATGATACATCTGCCCTAGGGATGCCCAAAAGCCCCAAGCCCTGATGGGCAGACCCCAGAACCATCCCAGTATTCATTTCATTTGTGTTGTCAGCATCTCTCTGAATCTCTTCCCTCAACTACTGTTTTCCCACCAAACTTCCCTCAAAGCCTTTTTTATATGAAGATAGAAACATATCACATTGACATAAAGATAAACCTTAATCACTCTGTGTTTAGTACTGTGTTTAGCACTGTTCCTTTAGGGATTTGTTGAGCACTCAAAACCGTTGCGTGAGGTAAGCATTTTTTTAATATGATAAAATACACATAAAATTAAATTTGCCATTTTGGAGTGTATAATTTAATGACATCAAGGCACAATAGTATACAACTATCACCATTATTTTGTTCCAGACTTTCTTATCACCCCAAAAGGAAACCCCATACCTATTGAACAGTCACACTCCCATTTTCCTTCCCCTACCCTTCCTGACTACCGCTAATCTGCTCTTCACCTCTGTATTTGCCTACGCCAGATATTTCATATAAGTAAAATCATACAACATGCGGCATCTTTCATTTCACATGTTTTCGAGGTTCTTACACATTGTACCGTTGACCCTTGAACATGGTAGGTTTTAACTGCACAGAACTTTTAGATGGATTTTTTTCAATTGACTCATTCAGTTCAATTGGTCCTGCTCAGTTTTATTGTCCAAAGTTCAATTGACCCTTGCAGTTTGAACTCCTCTTGTTCAAGGATCAACTAGAGATTGGGAATCCTTGAATGTGGAGGGCCAACATAAGTTATACTAGGATTTTCCACTGCATGGGCAGTTGGCACCCCTAACGCCCATGTTATTCAAGGGTCAACTGTAGTATACGTCAGTACTTCATTCCCTTTATTTTTTTTAAGTGGGGATGAAATCCACATAACATAAAATTAATCCTTTTAACATATATAATTCAGCGGCATTTAGTACATTTACAATGTTGTGCAACCACCACCTCTATGGAGTTCTGAAAACTTTTTGTCACCCCAAAAGAAAATCCTACACCCATTAAGCATTCACTCCCTATTTCCCCCTGCCCCCAGTTCTGGCATCACCAACTTGCTTTCTATGGGTTTGCCTACTGTGGACATCTTATATAAATGTGTCTGTTTTTTCCCCCACTCAACATAATGTTTTCAAGGTTTGTACAAGTTGTAGCATTTGTCAGAATTTCCTTCCTTTTGGTGGCTCAATGATATTCTATTATGGATTATACCACTTAAAAAATTCATTCTTTCATTTATGGACATTAGGTTGTTTCCACCATTTGGCTATTGTGACTAATGCTGCTATGAACATTCTTGTAGAAATTTTTATTTGCATACCTGTTTTCAGTTCTTTTGTGTCTATATCTAAAAGTGGAATTATTGCACCATGTAGTAATTTTATGTTTAACTTATTGAGAAGCCTCCAAAATGTTTTCCGTAGTGGCTGCACCGTTTTATATTCCTATCAGCAACATGTGAGGGTTCTAATTTCTTCACATCCTTAACTATACTTGATATTTTTCAGTTTTTTAATTCTAGCCATTCTAGTGGGTGTGAACTGATAAATCATTATAGTTTAGACTTGCATTTCCCTAATAACCAATGATTAAGAGTATCTTCATGTACCTTCCTTATATATCTTTTTAAATATATATATATATATATATATATTCAAGTTCTTTGACCATTTGTTGATTGTCTTTTTCTTGTAAGAGTTCTTTATATATTATGGATACTAGACTCTTATCAGATATATAATTTGCACATATTTCCCAATACTGTGGGGTGTCTTTTCATGTACTTGATAGCATTCTTTGGTGTACAAAGTTATTAATTTTGGTGAAGTCAGTTTTTCTTTTTTTGTTCCTTGTACTTTGGTTTTCATATCTATGAACCCATTGTTTATTCCTATGTTTTCTTCTAAAACTTTTAAGGTTATAGCTCTTACATTTAGGTTTTTGATACATTTTGAGTTGACTTTTGCATTTTTGCATGGTATGAGATAAGGGTCCAACTTCATTCTTTTGCATGTGATACCCAGGTATCTCAGAACTATTTGTTGAAGAAACTGTTCCTTTCCCCATTTGAATGGTTTTGGGACCCTTGTTGAAAATCAGTTGACCATAGATGTATCACTTTATTTTATTTTTATTTTTTTAAATTTTCATTTTATTTATTTATTATTTATTTATTTTTTTGTTACAGATGTTTCTCCTTTTTTACCCCATTGGCACCCCCTCCCCACCCCACCCCCGCCCCGTCCCCGGCTTTGTTGTCCATGTCCATTGCTCATGCATATAAGTTCTGTGGTTTAGCTCCTCCCACCCCCCCACCCCCTTCTGAGGGATGTCAGTCTGTGCCCTACTTCCACATTTCTGGGTCTACCATATTCCTCAGACTGTTATGTTCATTATATTTCGTATATAAGTGAGATCATGTGGTATTTGTCTTTTTCTGCTTGGCTTATTTCACTTAGGATAATACTTTCCAGGTCCCTCCATGTCGTCTCAAAGGATAAGAGGTCTTTCTTTCTTACAGCTGCATAGTACTCCACTGTGTATATGTACCACTGCTTTGTTATCCATTTGTCTACTGATGGACATTCGGGCTGTTTCCATATCTTAGCTATTGTAAATAGTGCTGCTATGAACATGGGGGTACATATATTCTTCCTGATTAGTGTTTCAGGCTTCTTAGGGTATATTCCTAGAAGCGGGATCACTGGGTCAAATGGAAGTTCCATTTTTAATTTTTTGAGGTAACACCATGTTGTTTTTCATAGTGGCTGCACCAGTCTGCATTCCCACCAGCAGTGTATTAGAGTCCCCTTTTCTCTACACCCTCGCCAACACTTGTTGTTTGATGATTTGTTGATGGCGGCCATTCTGACAGGTGTGAGGTGATACTTCATTGTTGTTTTAATTTGCATCTCTCTGATGATTAGTGATGTTGAGCATTTCTTCATATGTCTCTTGGCCATTTGTATGTCCTGTTTGGAGAGGTGTCTATTCAGCTCCTCTGCCCATTTTTTAATTGGGTTCTTTGTCTTCCTTTTGTTGAGTTGTATGAGCACTTTCTATATATTGGACATTAACTCCTTATCTGATACATCTTTGGCAATGATGTTCTCCCATACAGTGGGTTGGCTTTCCATTTTGATGATTGTTTCTTTTGCTGTGCAGAAGCTTTTGAGTTTGATGTAGTCCCATGTGTTCATTTTTTCCTTTGTCTTCTTGTTTTTTAATTGTTTTTTCCTTTTGGTTTTCTGATTGGTTGATTTTTTCTACCCTGTCTTCTAATTCACTGATCCGGTCCTCAGCTTCCTCTACTCTGCTTTTTAAACCTTCCAATGTGTTTTTCATTTCTGATGTCATTTTTTATCTCTTCTTGATAGTTTTTAATTTCCAATTGGCTTATTTTCAGCATCTCTATGTCCTTACTCATGCTGTTGAGTTTCCTCAAGGTCATGGTTCTGAATTCTAGCTCTGTTAACATGCCTAACTGCTCCACATTGATCTTATCTTCAGT